GTTCCTATTCTCCAGAATCAAGTACACAGGACTCAGCCCATGGTGTATTGTGAAATTTGGATATTGTAATAGAACTTACAATTTACTTTCTGTTTAAATGAACTAATGATTTCTGCTCTGCCCTTGTTATTTTTGACTTTGTCTACTTTTTGCAACTGTTATAAATCAATTAACAGAAAAGAAAAAGGGTAGTAGTATCCATATTGTTTAATATGGAAATAAGATATTGAGGTAATAATAGAACAAGATGTGTGGGACAAAATATGGCTAACTTAATCAAATAAACCTACATCAACAATTGTGGTTTTTTTTATGATATCAATGCTTTAACGTATGACTGAGTAGTACAGTTAGCCAACCTAGCAACAGTAGCACAACCAAAGCCTAATGCTGCATACTTATATGAAATCAAATAAAAGATTAGCGCCTTCAGTTTCTGTTTACTATGAATAACATAAAATGCTAGTGTTTGTTTTATAGTGCAAATGTGTGTTCTCCTGAGGAACTGCTCAGTGGTTTCCCCTTTTGGTAATGAAGACAGAATTTCCCTGAATCTCACTCCATCACAGACTGTCAAATTGCTTCACTAGAATACACCCCAGTTGTGTGTGGGATGTGATGTGATCCAACCAGTATTGATGATTACTCAGAGAGACCTTAACAGCAAAACTCAGAAGTAAATCCCATTGGGAGATAACCAATGAAGCACAAATTTCCACTGTGCAGAAGGACGTCACTTTCCTCTCTTCCCCTTGCAGTGCTCTGTACCAACCTCACCCCGCACCAGACTTGTAGGGGTGTTTGGGGGGGTGGGTTCAGAGAGGAAGCGGAAGTTGTTTGTGGGAGAACAAGTCAGTTTTACTTGTGTGCTGATGCTGTTGAATGCCAGCCATTGACTTCAACTTCAAGTGGACTTACTTTCAGTAACATGTACAGTGGTACCTCGGGTTAAGTACTTAATTCGTTCTGGAGGTCCATTCTTAACCTGAAACTGTTCTTAACCTGAAGCACCACTTTAGCTAATGGGGCCTCCTGCTGCCGCCGCGCCACTAGAGCACGATTTCTGTTCTCATCCTGAAGCAAAGTGCTTAACCCGAGGTAATATTTCTGGGTTAGTGGAGTCTGTAACCTGAAGCGTATGTAACCTGAAGCGTATGTAACCCGAGGTACCACTGTATAGGATTACATGCTACGGCTAAGTGTGTGTGTCTTCCTGGGAATAAATTCTATGAATTTCAGTGGGACATGACTTCCAAATAAGCCTGCATATATGATCACGGCCTATGCATCCTACAATGAGGAGTTAGTTACTCCTGTTAAAATTGAGGATTTACAAATATGCCTTGCAAAAATGAAACCAGTGTTCTGAGAAATGGACAAGCCACTTGGAAATAGCCATCAAAAACTAGGCATCTCTTATTACCTGGATTTAGTAATTCCCTGGGGACAGTGGAAGTTTACTTTACCTGCTGCTATGTATACAGTCTTTTGAAAATAATTCCTGTTGTTTGCACAATGAGAGTTAACAGAGAAGAGAAGTATTTCCAGTATACAAGATCAACCTGAGTCATTGGCACACAATACAAACTGTTCTGTGTTAAACACAGAAGAACAAAATCACACCCTACAAGAACTGATTTTAAAAATACAGGTGGGGAAGTTGTCTTCCATACCTGCATTTGCACAGCTGCATTTAAAACTGTTGTATTAGTTGAGGCTTGTGTTCATCATTTTTTTCTAGGCAAGAAATAGTATGTGGTGCAGCCTTACCTAGTCTGTAAAGGTAAAGGACCCCTGGACGGTTAAGTCCAGTCAAAGGTGACTATGGGGGTACCCACTTCAGACTGCAGGTAGGATATGGTATGCTTGAATCCTTGCCATGGGAAAAAGTCCCTGAACCTGGAAATCTAGCGTATCAGGGGGAAAGAAAGAAAAACTAGCATGTTAAGTTGGTTTTATTTGTCTTATTTATTTATTAATTAAAGTATGTATGTATAACATTTCATTAAAAATAGAGTGGTTTACAACCATTGTACATAAGACCATACAATGAAAACCACATTAAAAAGTTTAAATCAGGGCATGGAATTGCATCAAGACATGTACGGTAATTTCCCAACTGTTATCTGAAGTGGTAACTGTCTGGACATGTACATGGTTCCTTCCAATTCTATGATTCTGTCTATGATTCTCTGTAGACTGACTATCAGATCTTCAAACTGAGGATTTCCTGCTTTGCTGACTGACATAATTGCACCAGTTTGAAAATGAGACTGGGAATGGTAGTCTTCAGGTTAATCAAAATAGGTCATGTCAAGGGATCAGCCAGTTGCACAGCTGATTTAGCACTAGTGTTTAAATCAAAATGATGCTTGGGTGGGTGGGGTGGGATCTATGCCTTAATGCACAAGTTCTCAAAAGAATATCTGAACTACAGTTTCTCTTTGGGACTGGATCCCCTGCGCCAGCCCTGGTAGACCCTGCTCTGCTGCTTAAAGGTATGATAGGAGTTGCGGTCCAACAACAGATGGAGTAGGCTACCCCTGCTGTATGGTACCCTTCTTTCCTGAATATTTGCTGAGCTCATCCCACAAACATGCAGCCATGCTATATATTTGCTCCCATTTCCACACTGGGAGAGAAGCAGCTCCTGCTGGCTGGCCTGATTAGGCAATTTCACCTGTGTAGTGGCTATCTCAGCAAACCAGTCCAGAGTGCCACCAGTGGCTGGCTCCCAGGAATAACCCCTGCCTTTATTTACATAAACTCCATAGGTTAACCCCATTATTGTGTCATTCCCCAACCCATCTGGTTGTCAGAGCTGGTCAGGATGATAGTGACACCTATCCAGGTCAGGAATGTGCTATATAGTTAGATAAAACAGTCCAGTTTCTTCCTTGATGTACAGTATTATTATTGACAGCAGTGAGACAAAATAGCTACCAGTGTTACAAGTGCCAGGAGCCACATTAACGGCTTAATCGCTCAACTTAATCTCTAAAATACCTCAACGGTTATTCACCTTCTGGGAAGAAATGACAACCATTTGGCTCTTGTTTTGTTGCCCGGTCAGTTATTTACTAATTTGAAACTTTTCCAAGAATTATAAATCCATGGAGTTGTATCATTCTTTGGTTGACAGTGAATTACAAGGTGTGTGCACAATATTAACTTGTAAGCTGCAACTGCTTGCTCTTTTTAGCTTTCGTAACTGATGTGAGTTCTGCTGGACTTCTTGCTGAAGTTTCGATATGTGTTTGTCTATGCTGGATTCTATTATTGTCTTTTGTTTGCATAGTTTTATTGTTGCTGGGTTGCTTTATTGATTTATGCTTTTACTTAGTTGCTATATTGTATTTTTCACTTTTGTCTATTTAAATGTGTATATTATCTAGATAATTTTAGTATTATTAGACAACTCATATGGAAACAAATACTGAAGCCAACTGATGTCTCTTTCCAGATATTGATCAGTTTCAAGCTAAAATGAATGCCCTTTTTACCTATAACTTACTGCCCATATATTGCTCAGATTTTATATTATATTAAAGTGTCCAGACTATTGCAGACACATTCTTGGAAATCAGATAAGGTGCTGCAATGGCAAGAAAGAAAGCCGGGCTAGAATGGGCATGTCACCTCTTACACGGCACACTGGGGCAAAAATTGACTGTCTTATTCACAACTATGTTCCTATATAGTTCAATACCTTAGGTGCTGCTGATGAGCAGAAATAAGCTTGATAAAAATATCATCTCATTTGTCCCACCAACTCTGCATTCTTCAAGCATGGTCCCATGTTGTGGGTCTTGGGATCTACATATTGAGAAGTGGACATCGCTGCCACTCAGTACAGAGAGGAACTCAATACAGATAGGTTTTATCTTCTTGTGCCACTGCATTAGCCCGATTATTTCCAGTTGTAGTAGCATACTAAAAGGCTATCTGTACTGAGTTCAGCACGTGTCATCAGGAGCCACACAGTCCTCTCTCATTCTTTCAGTGCACACTGCTAGACTGGATTTCAGCATGACTTGGCCCATAATCTTGGTCTGATCCAGCAGTGCTGCCACCAGTGGATTTCTGCAATCCCACATGATATTGAATGCCTCTAGTACAATCCCTACACATTATTCATGGGTGAATTTCCATAACAGATGTAAATGACGCCAACCACTGTTTCAAGCAATGCATGTGTCTGCAATTATATTCTGGCTAGGGCAGCTATATGTCTGGATTTTCAAAGACGGAATTGACGTCTGGGGGGAATTTTGTAAATGTGGCACTTTGTCCTGGATCTTAGGCAAGTCAATCGAAAAATTGCATCCTGGTTTTTACTTTTTTAAATATGGCAACCCTATATTCTGGAAACTTCAGTAAACTACTAAGAACAGTGATTCAAGTAATAGTGGTTCCAAAACTTTGCAATAATGATATTATGGATGAAACCACTTCCCCCAAAGTAACACAGAAAGTTTCATTTTAGATTTCTTCTCTGAAAAACTTGGCTCATAATAAAAGGTACTATGCTGTTGGTTTTTTGTTGGTTTTTAAACTACCTCAAGAAACTTGAGAAACCTTAGGATGACGGATGTATTCATGGGTCAAAAGTGCTCTTCAAGTGAAGCATTTCATACTGAGCATGCAGGAAGCCAAGTATCGGTTGAGATGGAGGTGAAAAGGTGACACTTGTTTGCTGTAAATTATGCTTTATGTCTATCTGTTTGTACACTAAGACCTACAGTCTCATATCATGAAATGAATCTATTGTAACCCTAGTGCAACCATTTACCAACAGGGCTTCCTGAGCAAGTGGGGCTTATTCATAGGTAAGCATGCCTTGAATTTAGCACCAAATTAACAACTTTTCAAGCTACAATCATGTAAGCCTTTGGACTTGAAAGGGTGTTAAAACAAAATCAAAAACCATAAATAAGCTTAAAAATGCATTTATTGAAACAGCCAATAATAAGCTAATAATATTACTTTGTATCTAATTCAGCACTAGGGTTTTATTCAGCATAAATCAATCGGAATTTGCCCCATTTTGTTTTCGATTATTCTAATAGCTTCCAGGATTTTAGCTAGCCCCTTTCATTAGCTAGCTGGGTTATGTAAGATAACCCAGTCAGGGCCACTTTTACACCTCCAGCACTGAATGCCACTATGTAGAAGTAGGTTTGGGAGGTTTCCATGCAGGTGATGTAACATTTAAAGCCCTACTAACTATGCTTAAGTAGCTCACAGGTGACCATGTCAAAACTATCAATATTATTACAGCATAGAAACACAGAAATTGCAACCTATAAAAATAGTTTCTCTTTTCATATATGCACAAAAGCCAATTAAATTGTGGAAATGTACAATAAATGTACCAAAAATATAGACTCCTAAAAAAAACCACAACTGTTTAGCATGTCTCTCAGGCTATCTCAACAATTTTATTTGTACAGCAGACATTTTACCAAATCATTACCTTCATGTTAAGATTTAACTAGCACTGCGATGTAAAATAAGGATTGAAAGAAAGAAGTGCCCACCCTTTAGAATCTTTTAATTACCTTTGTATGGTTGTGGGAATATCTAAAATCAATAAGTACCGTCCACATATGATTACATGTCCATGGGTCAATGCTAAATTTGTCAGCTCTTTCCTTCACCCCTTTTGAGGGATCCTGTGCTTTCAACATTTGAAACTCAGCAAATAAGGCTTTCCCCACAAGTAGATGTACAACAGCTTAATGACAAGTGGAAATTCAGCTGTTATAAGCACTGGATATTTGTTGACAAGCCTAGTCTATGAATACAATGGCAGAGTGAGAAACGTCGAATAATTGCAATGTATTGCCACTGAAGTAAACAATAAATAGAGGCAACATAGAATGGACCCAGCAGGGACATGATTGCTGCTTTGTACATTGGAATAACCCACCTCCCACTCCTCTATTACTCTAGATGCTGAGTTGCCAGTCAACTAAAGCACAGTTTGCTCTGGTAAATAAGGTTGTGTCTAAGTATCATCCTTTTCTCTAGCATGTCTCATGTTATTGCCATTGTCATTCCTATCAGTTTGGAATTTAAGCAAGTTCATGGAGATGTTTAAATTCACCTAGTGGTTCTTGCACTGCAAAAACTTACAATATTAGGGAAGTGCTTTAATGGTGAATATTCTTGAGTGGAGAGGGGATGACCAGACCAGTTGCAGAAGTGGTTCTTTCTCTTTGTTGCTTTTAACCACATGTTAAATTGGTTTTACAAAGTTTATATATAACAGTGTTGGATTGGTTTTAAACAACAGCTTAAAACATGCTTTTCTTCCTGATAATGCAGATCTCATAAGGCATTCTAGGAGTCAGGCTTTTGCATCAAGATGGCAATGCTACAGTCCTTTAATTAAGTGCCTGAATGGAAAATCAAAATGCTCTGTAACTGAGTAAATGTTCTGCCTTTCTTGAGTGAGTGATATCAACAATGATAGTACTATGAGGGGAGTGAGAGAGCTTTTTGGGGTTTTTTAAGTGATTGTTATTTTTTCCTCCTGAAAGGATGCAAGAACTGTAAAGTGCTTCAACATAGCAACAGAAAGTAGTAAGTTCTTAGAGGACTTATGTCAAGACCAGGAGATACATCTGAGCATTGGCTATTTGTGGTTAAGTTTGGTGGGGTGCATCAGGTCCAACATCATATGGAGCAGCATTATATTCATAGAATGTTTCCAGCTAGAATACCAAGAGGGGGGAAAATACTTGATTAGTGGCATGACACTGGCTGTCTTCCTATTCATCACATTTCTATCACACTCTTCTTCCATGAAGCTTCATTTCATCCATTGGGGTGATTCTATTTTATCTTCACAAGCCAATTAGGCAAGCAGGGAAGGCTTGTCCACACTGCTGTTTACTGTGGGTTTGCAGCTTTTCCCAATCCCATTTACAGTGGTGCCTCGCAAGACGAAATTAATCCGTTCCGCGAGAGTCTTCGTCTAGCGGTTTTTTCGTCTTGCGAAGCAAGCCCATAGGGGAATTCGTCCTGCGAAGCAACTCCAAAACGGAAAACCCTTTCGTCTAGCGGTTTTTCCGTCTTGCGAGGCATTCGTCTTGCGGGGCACCACTGTAATTTGTGTAGTCCACAAACTGTTACCCTCAAACAACACCAGTCTTGATGCTTCCCCCCTGTAACTTCAAGCTCACTCAATACCGAGATAATCAGATAAACTGAGGATAATGAGTCTCCAAACTACTCTACTCAGGATCACAGAGTGGGTAGATCAATCATCTTCTTTCTCCTGTTCACATGCACTATTCCCTTAATGTTTTCATTTCTCTTCCGACTGTGCTTGTACTATTTCTAGTGTGCTCCAAACAGAGAGAAGCATAGCCTTATTTCCCCCTCTTTTGATCCCTCAAGTTTTGCACAAATCCAGAAAGCTGTGCAAACAAACCACATTACAAATATCTACACCAGACACTGCACAGCAATCAGAAAAAATGTGTGCTAAGAATTTACAGTTGTCTGACCCTGTGCTTTTTGCACACTTCCTGGGTGGTTGTTTTTTAAGGTGTTCATTCAGCTATCGACACATGTGCCCTGTCACGACTTAAGCAGCATAATCAACTCAACAAATTAGAAGGCAGGGACAAACACTAAAGGAAATGCCTACTGATATGCACATGGAAAAACTAGTTGCTTCTTATATACAAATTCAAAGACATGCAGGTGTGGTCTAATATGGGTGGGAGGAAAGTGGATGAACAGCAGTTACTAATGGTCAAATGTTGGCAAACAAGCCCAAAGTGAGGTGGCTAAAGCTGCCCAATGAGCTTTAGTACTGAATAGGAGTTTAACTTCCCATCTTCCTAGCTTGCTTCCTAGTGGTTTGTTCACCATACTGTACTGATTGATTGTGGATACTGGATGTATAAAGGGCAAATTTTGTAGGAAAAACTAGTTTTTACATGTAGATGGCCACACACACACACACACACACACACACACAGCAGAAAGGAGCAGCAAAACTCTAATTAGTTTCCAGTCCATATATTTGCACTAGGGAAAACTTGTTTTAAAAGATTTCCCAGGGACCACACAAGCTAGCCCTTTGAACAATAGTTCAGTGAAAGATAGAACTTACATTTGGAAAACGGAAATGTTCAGTCATAGAACACTTGGTAGTTAAAATTGTCAGACTTGATTTTGAAATTGTACGCCCCAGCCTTGCGTTGGTGTTGGAAAATTAAAAGACCTGTTATTGCCAGTATAAAAGCAAATACACCAATGACAATGAGGACTATGTAACCTGCTCCTAAGCCACGCTTTTCTTCTGCTGAAATAAAGGAAATAAAAATATTAGATGTGATGATATATTGGCTTGCATACACACAATGCATTTAGAGTATATCGTTTTCCAGAACAGAAGGCTGGGAACTGTAGATTACCCAATATAGAGCTACAATTCCCATCACCCTTAACAAACTACATTTCCCAGAATTCCTTGGGTGACTGGGTGCCTTAAATGTGCTTATAAAACATAAAGGCAAACAAGGTAAAACGTTACCAGATTTCAGAAGTGCAATCCTAGTCATGTTTTCTTGGAAGTAACTCCTGTTGTATTCAGTAGGGCTTCCCTTCAAGATAAGGCTCATCCACAATTCTGTTTACCCCACCACGTTCTCCCAGTAAAATCCACTCTTTACTGCTGAATTGGAGCAAACATCAACTGGGTTTTCCACAGATTGAAATTTGCTACAATTCAGCAGTGGAAAGCATGTTTTCCCAGATTAAGTGGCAGGGCAAATGGAAAACTATTCACACCCATGTCTAGAAAGCATGGCACAAGAAAAAACAACCCCAATTGGACCTGTACTTTCTAGGCACAGGTAAGTGGAAGAGTGGATGATTCCTACATCTGTATAGGATTGCAGCCTTAATGTCTGCATAGATAATCCCATCTTCTCACTATCACAAATCAACAAACTGCTGCTCCTGCTCAGGGAGGAAAGGGATGGGGCCAGACAGAGAGAGATGACAGGATCTTGTGAGCTAAGCAGATCAGCAGTGGCCATGCTGCCCTTTTCCTCCACATACAGCCGGTGTAGAACTTTTAGACAACCACCAATGAAATTTCTTTTTATTAACGTGTGGGGAGTGGATAAATGCAATAGTCATGAGATTAGAATAGTGCCAGTACAGCATTAACAAACAATAATTAGTCCGCTGTGTTATCATCTTGAAGCACTTCAGTGCTTGCTGTGTGGCCCTCTAAGGAGGGAGAAAGGAGGTAGAGTATATAAAGTGCGACACAAAGATTTGAAAATTAAAAACCGGCTGAAGGAATGGAGGACAGTCACAAGCTCAGTAGAGTAAAGAATTTATTTGTTTTGTTACTGGTATGTTGAAATATTGTGTTAAAAAAGAAATCAATAAAAAATATATTAAAAAAAAATAAAGGAGGGAGAAAGGAGAGTCAGAGGCAGTTTTAGGGTAGTATGACCAGAATGGAGTGCGAGATGGGGGGAGGGACATATTTCACACAGGGTGCCACTGAAATTTGAGAGCCTACAATCTGTCACTGAGTGAGTGTGAGAGCTCAGCCTGGCTGGGTGGTGCTCTGAGGTGGGCCAGATGTCTGGCTGCATCCCAGCCCAAGGCCTGCTCCTGGAGCCAAGAGGCTGCTCTGGTTAGTTTTGGCAGGGGGTGTGTGCTTCCACAGCACAGTTCTGTTGCTTAGTTCACAGCAGCCCCAACCCATTTATGACCATTCTTATCATTTTCACTCCTAGCTGTCTCTCAGTATTAATCTTTGCCAGCCTGGTGACTGATTGCTTACCACCGGATTTGCGCAGAGGACCCCAAGATGCATTGGGCATTGCTATAGTTTCCCCAGTCCTCATCAAACGGAAACCATTGCAGTTCTGGAAGAATAAAAATGAAGAAACATTCCTTGGTGGCCTTCTCTTTTTCCAGTGTGAAATGTTTAGGTGCCTACCAATCTGCAGACCATCTTAACAGATTTTGCAAGCTCACTGGCAGAGGAAGAGGAGTGCGGGGGGAGCGCACCGCCCCTGGCAGCTGCCCCCCCCCCGCCCTGCCCACACTGGGCACCCCGCCCCCGCCTGCTCTCCACCCCCCGGTGCCGGTGGATGAAGCTCCGCCACTGTGCAAGCTACTAATTTGAGAACTATTTGTACACCACGTAGATATTTAATGATATGGCAATATAGAAATACTTATATAAGTAAAATTAAAAACAGAACTGCTTGCATAGGAGGAAATATGTATCCCATATTCTCTAAACTCAGGGGAATGTTTCCTTTTACAGTTCAGAAATACTAGCAGGTATAAGAATCCTCCATTAAGATCACTGCCAATACTAATTTCATTATCACCATATTAATTAACACCTAAGACTACAATAGGAACTAGTTTTCCATTGTACACTTTATATTTCTGCTAAGAGATTTTTTCCAACTCCTTTTCCTGGACCTTCAAAGCTACTGCTAAGTATTGACTTCAGTCCATAGCACTCAAAGTAGTCATTTACTAATAGATTTCAAAAGGTCATCTAAGAAGGGTCAGCAACTAGGGATGGGAGAAATTTGGTTTCTCTCATTTTCTAACTTTTCCTATCTGAAGCTCACTTCTCCATATAAATTTCCAATTTTAATTTTTTTAGAAGAGTCGTCATAAAAATTTATCAGCAAACTTATCCAACTATACACATTTTGCCTAGCATAATGCCTTTTTATATAATCTTCACTAATAAATGCATTTCTGTGTACACTGCTTGACTGAAGAACTGCACTGCAAAATTCAGAGATGTGCAAATTTTGAATGGTGGCTATGTTTCACATTTTGAGGGTGTACTGGGGGCTGCAGGGGCAGTGGTGTAGCGTGGGTTGTCAGCACCCGGGGCAAGGCAAGTAATTTGCGCCCCCTAACCCGGTGGGGGCAGAGAGCTGTGAGTCCGAGCGCGCCCCCCCAGATGTTGCGCCTGGCCCCCCCTGCACCCCCCACGCTACGCCACTGTGCAGGGGGGGAGTGAAGTCCAATGGGACATGCAGACATCTGCTCACACAACATTGGAGTCTGCCTTATATGTTCTTGGGTAATTTTACTGTTGTAGTTGGGGAATACATGGGAAATATATACCCCCTTCATCTTGTTTTCCAACAAGGTCTTCAAGTAGGAAATAATAAAAGCTGCCTTACCGTCTTGCAACTACTCCTTGGAATTTCCAGACAAACATGGATTTTGCAATGTAGATAAACCACTGAGTCATTGACAAAGGAAAATATTTTCAGTTTAAATTGGGCTTTGTTGGATATCCCATTCGAAATCATAGTGGTGTGTGAATTTGGAACTGGACAACTGAAAAGAGAACAGAATATAATTCAACACTGTCCATGCTAACTTGTATTTCTGTTTTTGAGCTTCCTTCAAAAATTGATGGTAGCCGTCCAGAGAGAGAAAGTGAAGCAGACACACTTCCATTAGCAGCTATGGAATAGCTTATAACAACAACTGCAGTAGCAATACCTAGCAATTTTCATTTTGTTTCCTAGGAGTATTCATACATTATAATAATTTAAACAAGGCATATATGGGTGTACATTATCTTGTACTTGATTAAAAATAAACCCAACTTTTCAATACTGCCTTTTTGCCCCAACATAATTCTTTTAATCCAGGAAGAAATACCACGTTCCTTTTTATAATCAATCCATGATCAAGGGTAAGTTTTGTTTTTTTGTTCTTGTGAAAGCCCATTGTAGCTGCAGTCAACTTGGGTGTTCAGCATTTATATATACTGCTTGGGAGGATTCAAGCCACTTCATATTCATTAACTTAGTAATCTTTACAACTACCATTCACAGTAGTTCAATAAAATCATCCCAACATTACAGACAGGGGGCAGAGACTGAGAAATAATGGCTTGTGTTAACCCCGAGTACTAAGATGAAATCTAAAGAATAATTAAACTAAATATTAAGTAATCACAGACTTGCCAACTTGAAATGATGCTCTTAAAAGCTGTATTTTAATTTTTCAGCTAGCACTACCTGGTACATGGTTTTTGTGTGACACCCTGAATATATTGCGTGTAACATACCTGCCATCTATAAAAGGAAATGACTGAGGGTCCTTTGAGTTATTAGTTGGAGTTGCCCAACATTCGCTGACGACCACCTTGAGGTTGCTATCATGTCTCTGTATTCCCACTTCAATCATTAGGTCATCACTAGCAGAGATGGTGAAATTTTTGGGAATTGGGGCATTTTCAATGAATAGCTGCATTTCTGTTAAGAAGTGTCCTGATCCATGTAAATCCTCAAAAATGGTATAAACCCTGCAAGATAATCAGTTGTTAAAATTCATGGAGTGCTTTTTTATGAGCTCTGTTCCTCTGTCCCATATGCGCATAATACCAGTATTCTTTCTAGATTCTGTGTACAACACTATGTGTGCACGCACACACATAAAACAGAGTCAGACACAACAAATATACAACAAAAACCACAGAGCTAGACAGTGCTATATTCTATCCTAAAAGCAGGTGCAACTACAGCTAGGACCAGAATTGGGGAGGATTGATGGTAACTGACTCCCCTAATAACAACCAACACTCAGCAGAACAGACACACACTACAATATTAACTAATTTAAAAATTACAATGTGCAGAACTAGATTTTATTAAAGAAAGTCTTCGGAGAAGCATTGGTATGGACTGGCATTAGGAAGAGATTAGATCCCTTAAACTGGAAACTAAGCATAAACAAAATCTATATCACTCCACCCAAAATGTTTCCAGTTTCTTTTCTCCTAAAAGAGTGTACTATGAAGAGGAATGGAAAACCATGCCACAGTTCTGACAATTACCTCCATTTGGCCCTCCCAAAACCACTGTGATTGGAGAGAGCCCTGGTAAAATTATTCTCTGTAAGCTACAGCTGCCCGTCACAAAACCCCATCTTCTCCCTCTTCTCTTTTATGGAGGTTGTAGAGAGTGTATCCATTTTTAGTAGGCTGTTATCTGAGTGTTAGTGTCCCTCTGAGTCTCTTGGAGGGGGGGGATCTTCACTACAATTCCTTAGTGCAGTGGTTTTCAACCAGTGTGCTGTGGCACCCTGGGGTGCCTTGAAGGATGGTCAGGGGTGCCACAGGCAACACTGGCCTCTGTCCCTCTTTCCTTCCCTCTCTCCTTTAATGCGCTCTTGTGTATCTGCCTCCCAAAGGCTTGCATAGCTGTCTGTTGCAGCAGCCCTGGCTACAAGCTCCACAGGCAAATGGTGCCTCTGGGGCTGGTCAGAGGGTGCTTCCCAGGTCCCTGTGGGGCAGTGTGACAAGGCACCTCTCTTTGGGGTGGAGGGGGCAGCTCAGAAACCAGGGCAGCGGCTGCAACTGCCCAGAGGACTCCCAAGGAGAGGGGAGATGAGGCTGAGAGAATACTCCCCAAGGGAGAGTGTTCAAAAAAGGGTGAGGGGCTGCCAGCTCTGCAGGCAAGGGGTGACATAACTGGGCTCCTGAGCCCCAGGGGGTGATGCAGAAAGAATGTAGTTGGTTAAGGAAGCCGTGGACTCAAAAAAGGTTGAAAACCTCTGCCTTAGTGTATAATGAAATGAAGGTACACTGAACCATTTGGATTTGGGGTATTAAAATTCCCACTTACCCTTCTGGAGTATATCCAGATGAAGTCAAGAGATCATTTTGAAACACACAAAGGATTGGACTGACAACCTTCAGGTGGCGGATGACCCTTGAAGAAAGCAAATCATTCCGAAGAACTGATTTTACTATGGTGTGTGTTGTGTTCTGGGGGGAAAAACAAATGCAACAGAAGAAGAAAATCAGGGTTTGTTTGTTACATTTTAAGGATAACTTTGGAGGACACACTGGCGTCAGCAAATAAAACAGAACAATCAGGCATGGAACCTTTTCCATATGAGGAAGGATTAAAACAATTAAGTTTAGTCATCTTAGAAAAGCACTAGTGAAAATATGGTATAAGAGTGAAAATATGGGCATTTGGTTGAAGGGTAGTATATAAATATTTATAAAATAATTAATACAATAAAATCAGTAGTGGATGGGGGGATTCTAGAACTGGCACATATCCACTAATTCACACAACCCTCAGTTCATGATGGCTACCAGGAAATGTCACACCATCTTGTCTCTGTAGCCAACCAATTGCATGTAGCCACCATTATGCACAGGAATAAGCTTTAGACATATTAATGCATGTGACAAAAAGAAAATGTAGTTCTTCCTGTATCAGAACAGACATGTTGATTATTTTTTACAAATACACCTGCATCATTAATTATTTTATTTATTTATTTATTTATACATACATACATACATACATACATACATACCCCGCCCATCTGGCTGAGCTTCCCCAGCCACTCTGGGCAGCTTCCAACAAAATATTAAAATACAGTGTAGGCAGAACTATTGCCAATAGCTTTAAAACTTCAGTCTCCCAAATCTCTATAAAGGGCCATAAAGCAACTGCAGCTATATTCTGCAGATTGAATAGAGGCAGATGTTTCTTCTATTCACCCTGACTAAAAACAATTAGCAGGTTAGGCATCAGTGATGGAATCCACAGTGCTGTTTCTGCACAAGAGCAAGGAAAGGAAATGGAAGGTAAGAATATATTATTATTATTATTATTATTATTATTATTATTATTAGCAATGGTTTATATCCAAACTGCTCACCAAACCAAAAGCCTATATCTCATTCACTATCCTATTTTCATATGTAAGCAGTTTCCTTTAGGGAGTGTGGATAATAATTTTCCAACCTTCTCTGTTCTTAAGCAAGTTCCCCAGTCTGAACTCTCTAGTTTCAGTGACCTTTGATGCTTACTTTGTTATCTCAATAACTCATTATTAATATATGTCAGTAAATATCACTTAATGTTCTCTTCCGAGATTGAAGTGACTTACGGTTTGTACTTCAGTTCCACATTCGTTCCACCCAGTCCGAAGTATGACATGACTGGAATTGCTGGAGCTTACATTGCAGTGGGGTCTTCCCAGGTACAGGGAAGATTCTGGGATAGATTCTTGCTTCAGAAAGTCCTTCTGAATGGTGATGACAATTTTTTCAATCTCGCAAAGCACTCTGACTGCTTTCTTAACTAAAATCCCCTGGGAAGGCTTACTGGGTGGTAAGGATGAGACTTGAACATTCAGTGTTGTTTCTGTAGATGCATTGCTAAATATAATGCTGGTGGTTGCATTTTCCAAACTTCTGGTTTTGGGGACAGAAGAATCCTCTCCAGCAGGTGATGGCACGTGGTTTGAAGTATATGGATCTGTCAAAGGTAAAACTGTGCTGCTCAGGTCTTTTGTCTGGGTACCTTCTGCATCAGGGTTGGAAAAAAGTGCTATAGAGTGGAAGGGAAAGGTATGGCAACTTGCATTATTCAATTACTTTTCTTACAGGGAGTGAACCAGAACACATTATTAAAATGGGTTTAAAGTGGGAATGTTGTTCCATTTAAATTTTCTCATCAAAAGGAGTAGTTTCAGGGGGGCTGAAATATTCCCTTTTAAAAAGCTTAAATTGTAACAATGGGGCTTGTTGAATTTTTCAATTTTCAATTCCAAAAATGAAAGGTGCTAAAAGGTTGTAACATGACTTGGGAATAAAAAGATCTTTTGGTTAAATTAATATAATTTAATTTTGCTTGGTAAATAAAATGCGTGTAAAATTGCATAGAAATCATGTAATTGATTGCCATTTAGTGAGCTGATGTCACAATGCTATGTAGGCCATTGGAACTGACTATGCGCTGATGTCACTGAGGACAAAATTAATTCAGCAAGTGAACTGCTTCCTGAATAGGTGAACATTTTCAAGCCTTTCCCAAACAATCACCAAAAGGGGTGGAGGGGTGGGGAGAGCTTTTCAGTTCTGCTGAAAATGTTCACAGAAATGAGCCCCCTTTCTGTATTACAAAACATTGGACTCCAGTGAGCAATATAATGTAATATATATAATTGATCCAGCAGCACCTTATTTCAGGCTTATTTTGTGTGAACATCTGCTACAGTATGTTTATAGACTGTACTGTAATCCCACCTATGGTGAATTTGCTAAATATGCTCTGATCTTATATTCATAAGATGAAATGAAAGTAAATATTGAAACATTGCCTTCACAGTTTCTCCCGGGTCTCTCAGCATTCGCGTTGACAAATCCTTCTTTGCAGCTGCATTCATAAGATCCATAAGTATTAGAGCAAGATGCATCAGAAGAACAATCTGTTTCTTCCCTCTCACACTCATCATAATCTGTTTTTTAAATAATAACAATAATAGTCATAATAAAGAGAGTGACAATTCATGAGTGATTATTATTTAGCTGCACTTGCAGTTATAGTACTGGCAGTGTTATAAGCCAGCATTCTCACAGGCTATCGAGAAGTTTTTTCCCCCACCTTTAAGTACCAACCCCAGCTGGAAGGGCTTTGATTCACCATGAACACCATGGACATCAGCTTTCCCCAAAAAGATGCCAGCCCTGGGTCCTAATGCCACCAGTTCCATACTCCTGAAGAGGGGTTAGGCCCTCCCAAGATGATGCCAAGGGTGGACAATGCATGTAGGAGATTTTCTAGAGGAGACGTCATTTTGACCGAGGTGAGGTGCCATTTCATAGCAATCATTCCAAGGCTGCAATCCTTTAACATTTACTAATGAATAAACCTGCATAGGATTACGCCGCATGATGTGTGTGTGTGTGTGTGTGTGTGTGTGTGTGTTTTAGATGCCATTTTGGAGATGCTGCTTTTCTACTGTTACTAAAGGAGGTGATTAGACTGGGAAGCAAAGACATGGTTTCAAACCCTCCCTTGGCCACAATGCCCACTGGGTGACTCTTTATAGACAGTCACACTCTCTCAGTTTCACCTACTTCACAGGGTTGTTTGGGGATAATATGGAGGTGGCTGCACCATGTACCTTGAGCTCCTTGAAGGAACAGTGGCGTATAAATTAAGTAAAATAAACAAATAAAATGCAATGTCAAGAATGGTTCTACATTTGTGACCGAACATAAGCTGTTTTAGCTTGGAAATGATGAATCATATGTTTTATTTTGTGAGATAAATAGCCAGTACAAACACTAAAGGTCCCATAACAGCTTTTCATTTGTCACTTTCATTCATGACCTACTTTTAGAATTGAAGTCTGAAGTCCAGCACTTACCATTTTTCAGGGTTTGAGAAATTACAACAATAAACTATTGCTTACCATGTATGGAGAGACTGCTGTTATCAATCATGAAATGGCGGCTGTGGAGAAAGGCCTCAAGGAAAGAACTGGAAACGTTGTTTGCATCCATGTCTGCTGGAATCAGGAGGTTGAAGCTCACCACTACACTTCCATTAGTCACACTCGTTATCAACATTTTAATCAAGCCAGCATCCATTTTCGGGAGAATATTAAGGGGCAGAGACGTACGGACCTATTGTCAAAACAATGAATGTAGTGGATAAAAATGTGCAGTGAGAATGACTTGGATTTTGTGTGCAGGACGTTTTACAGACAACTCAACATATCAGGCACTGGGAACTGCTTCATGTTTAGACCCAAGATTAGAGAATATTCAGAAGATGGAGTGGTCCTGCATCAGAGAACTGAACCAATAATGCACAATTCTTTCCTACTACCCTTTGAACTGGTTGGACCAGCATAGTTTTACCCTTTTTATTATAAATGAGAAGTCCGCATTATAGACAGGTATGAACAGAAGACTGTTTCCCATAAGTAGGTACCTAGCTTTTCTGGGGTTTTTTGCAAGTTGTTATTTTAGGGTTGTCTTGTTTTAGTTGTGATCTTATCATTTTATGTTTGTAAGCTGCCTAGAGAACAATGTTATTGCGCGGTGTTAGATAAATAAAGTTGATAACCACCACTACAAGACAACTCGATTTTTCATCATTTGATAACTCTCAGTTGAATGTATGAACTTTATGGGGGGAAACAGGGATGTGAGGTGGCAAAAACCATAGACCTAAGCTCATGCATTCAATGAATGCTTCCTGCTGCACATGCATAGAGCGTGCCCTCGACTTTGGCTGAACATGTGGGAGCCAAGGGATACATGGAGGTTCAGGCTGGGTAGTGGCAGTGTGGATGTGAAGGTGAGAACATGGCTCTGATCACTGCTTCATACTTGCAAGACAACATGATGTTGCAATCTTCAAGTGATGAACACACATCAGGTTCTTGCCACAGGACTACCAGATTAACACATTATAAAGCCCTAATTGAGGCCCAAGATCCAAGATCACCTGAGAGACAATGGTTGTGTATCTCATTCCTCTCGCTGTGCTCTTCTGCCCCTGCCCCCCGCAATCTGCTCAGGAGGGTCTTCCAACACTCTGGAGCAGGTTTTGAGGGGGGGGGGGATTCAGCAGAGAGGAGAAAAGTGAGAAACTCCACTGGACAACAGTACAACACATTAAATACATAATTTACATACATAATTATACCCATTTTATACCATATTGAGTTTTCCCACTCTATCATATTTACTTACCTCAGTGAAAAACAACTGTGTAAAATTTTGATACTCTTGACTACTTGTGTTGCTGAACCCTGAGCTATAGTTGAGATTTGATATCCTGACGGTTCCACTAAGTATCTGGGCAGCTGTGAGATTGGAGGAAAAAATGTAAACATACACGTTTGTAAGTGTTGTATTCAGAATACAATTTCTAGGCCTCTAGGAAATTTCAGATAACTCTTTTTCTAAACTCAAATAGCAAAGCTGAGTAAAAAGAACTTTAAAAGAACTGGAGGAAAATAACGAATGTTACTTTTAGATACAGAGAGTTTTTCTTCACTATTGGGCTGTTCTGGATTTATGAATGAAGAAGCAGGTATTCATAAGACATGACTGGCTTCAAAATTTTCATTCCCTCTTAAGAGCAGGAAATGTGAAAGGTCACATTCACATCATTTAAAGTGCTCTTAAATCACATTAACATTCATGGTTTCCCCCAAAGAATCCAAGAAACTTTAGTTTGTTGAGGGTGCTGAAAGTTCTTGGGCGATCCCCTCACATAGCTACAATTTCCAGGACCCTTAACAAACCACAGTTTTCATGATTCTTTGGGGAAAGCCATGACGGTTGAAGCAGTACAAGAATGCTTTAAATGTATGGCATGGATGTGACCCAACTCATTGACAAGCTAAATGGCCAAATTTTTGTGAAAAGTACTCTTCTTCTTCTTCTCATATTTAGCATTCCCCTATAAGTATAAAGGGCTGACATTTCTCTTATAGACTTGTGATCACCAGATTATAAAAAAAATTAACTTCTAAGAATGTTTTACCTGCCTTTACTTTATGTTGTATACTTTACTCTATGCTTTATACATTTTGCTCTTCCACTGGCTGTGCTGAGGGAGGGAGGTGCCACCAGCATTTTATGCCTCATTGGCTGCCCAGGCAGGTGGCAGCCAATGCCCTTTTAGCCTGTGAGGCACCTCCCCCCCCCCAAGAGCAGGTCTCTCATTGGCCAACCTAAAATGTGGGAGCTGCCGGAAACTCCAGCCAGCTACCCAGGAGGCCAGTGGAATTCCCCAACAGCCGCCTGGCCATGTGCGTTCTGGCTGCCCAGGGATGGCAACCGAGTGCAAGGATCCACAACAACCGCCCACCCAGAAGAAGGGGCAAGTGTCCATTACCTGTCTTTACTTTATGCTGTACTGGTATGCTTTTATTTCCACAAACTTCTGTCACAATTTCAACAGTGTACAAAATCCCAGGTTCTAGTCCGGAAATAGTCAGGTTGTGGCTCTGGGTCTTAAGCACTTGTATAAGCTCCTTTCCATTAAGCAACAGAAACTTGAAAGAAGTATTTAGTGGAACATTTGTGGTCCAAGTTACTTGAAAGCTGGTACTGGTTATATTGGAAAAAATAATATTTGAAGCTGGAAAGCACATTAAGAAGAAAAAGAGATGGCAATTAAATCTTTGAAGGAAGGAAAACAAAGAATTATCTTAGAAACATCTATTCCATTTGCCACATTTTAAATGAAAAGTTTAATGAAAAGTTTTACAAATTTTACAGGAGAAAGAATCCCCTTCCCACACCTGCTACATTTTGGAACAAATTTGATCTCCAAATAAACTATAGACTAGTGGCAATTAAAGGTGGCAGGAAAGTTGAGGTAACTTTAAACTATGTTCAGAAAACAACAACAACAACAGTGTTTTGATATTTGGCACCTAAGGCAAAATTCATATATCTAATTTCAGTATAGGAAAGCTACGTGAAACTTTTAATTTCAAAAAAGCAAGACTATGAGCTAGTTGACTTATATAGATATTAAACACATACTGTATTTTAGGTGCTTTTACAAATAATAAATGATAATGAAAGTGTACTCTTAGAATAATACTGGAATATACATGTTACCAGTCAAACTAGAATTTGACAAGGCTTCTTTTGCCCTTCTGTTATGTTTATAGGATACTTCTTTGAAAGAGGGGAAGTACCCTCTGTCAGTGAGGAATTGGCCTCAGTGCTTGCCAGAAGAATCTTACTAGGAAGAGGTGGAAACTGGGTTTGGAGAAAGCATGCCTCCTCTGAGGCAAAGGTTCTACCAGGGATAGGAAAGCCAGATCACACTGTAGCCAACCCTTTGCAGGGCTCATATGACCAGTGGGGCCACCTACTGGCATGCAGCACAAAATTTAAACCGCCAGGATCGGATCAATTTGGGAGCTCCGATTGGGTAATCTGAAGTGCTCTCTGAACTGTCCCTTGGCAAGCATAGCTTGTATTCAGCACCATTTAAATTTGACTCTAAATGCAAGTTGCACTGCTTTTGACTGTGGTCAGATCCATCTGGGAACTCCTAATCAGAGCTCCCAAATGGACCCATCACTAACAGTGCAGCTTGCATTCAGCACCAAATTTAGACAGTTCTTCTGTACTTTGGACATCCACTCTGCAAACAGGAGATGTAACTGAGTGAAATTAAGAGGTGTGTGCTTAAATCTCAAAGGAATTTGACTGGCCTGTAGCCATTCTCTTGCATTTTCTACACACACTAACCCTCAACGTCTTTTTCTACATACTAACAAGTTGATTTTAAGGAAAGTTTTAGTGTAAAAGCAGACTCACCACCACAATCTGAGGCAGGGGCGGCAACTGTGTAGCCCCCAGACAAAGATGGTAATGTTGTGGATGGATTTTTCTCAGACCAAGATCTGTTATCTTTCCCCATCTCTTTATCAAGGGTATGATTGGGAACATAAAATGTGGGGTGTTGGGTTACATTCAGGGCTGAAGTTGCATTTTGCTGAGAACTTCTCTCAGTTATGAGGCCAGGTGTGCTTGTCTCTACTTCAGAGCCATTTCTCACAAAAGGGTGAACTGTAATATTTGAAATGCCAGGAAACATGGACATTGAAGAGTTATGCCTTTCTTGTGTTGTTGATCTCTCTTCAACTAAGCTTTCATTTGATGAAGTTACATTGTCCCACTTTTTTGTCACCAGAGCAGGAGTTTCTGAAGTACTCAGGGTATTATTATTCCTGACATACCCTGTGGTAGTTACATCGTCCCACTTTTTTGTTACTGGAGGAAGAGTTTCTGAGGTACTCAGGGTATTATTATTCCTGACATATTCTGTGGTAGTTACATCGTCCCACTTTTTTGTTACTGGAGGATGAGTTTCTGAGGTACTCAGGGTATTATTATTCCTGACATATTCTGTGGTAGTTACATCGTCCCACTTTTTTGTTACTGGAGCAGGAGTTTCTGAAGTACTGAGGGTGTTATTATTCTTGACATACCCAGTGGTAGTTATATTGTCCCACTTTTTTGTCACCAGAGCAGGGGTTGCTGAAGTGCTCTGGCTGTAATTGTTCCTCACATACCCTGAAGTGGTCATTCTCTGAGATGCTGACAGGGTTTTGTCTGATGGAAGAGTGCTTGACTCTTGGGTCCCATTTGAGGGCAGTATTATTGTCTCAGTGGACTTAGATGTGAATGAAGTCACTGCCCTTACTTCAGACATTGCCAGAGGAGTGGAACCTGTCCCAGGCAGTCCTTCTGTAGCATTTACTTCAAATGCAGGCACCATTTCTGTAACCGGATCCACAATATCACCTGGAATGCAACATTTACACATTTGACACAAACCGAAGTGTACAATATGAGTGGTATTTCCTTGGCAAACAACTATACATGAAACTACTGTACTAGTATAAATCAATTAATAGTAAATATGAAACACTAGTCTCCTTTATGTCTTATTCCATGAGAAGGGCCTCCATTTTACTGGACTCACCTCTGACATTGCACTTGCCCATCTGCTGACGTCCTGACGGTACAGAGGAACAAAGGCAGCTGCTGACTAACACTGAGTCAGAACAGTGATCCATATGGCTGAGTACTTGCTACACTGACTGGCAGTGTCTCCCCAGAGTCTAGACATGGTTCTCTCTCCAGGGATTGAACCTGAGACCCTCTGCATGCAAAGCAGTTGCTCAACCATTGAACTACAGCCCTTCCCCATTCACACAAGGCACCTCCTTGCATGGAGTAGCCTAAGCAAGTATGAGTGGCTCCTCCTGCAGGCCTTCCCTCCAGGTGTGAAGGTAGATCTGGGTGAGCAGTCGGAATGCTGGGGGTGGTTGCACGAAGAGGGGCAAAGTAGAATCCTTTTCAATCCATGGGAAGAAAAAAAAAACCTCCACAGAAGAACAAGTGTGAATCTTACCCTCACAGTTTCTCCCAGGTCGGGATGGATTGGCATCTGTGGTTGTCTTGCATCTGCACATATATGAGCCCAATGTATTGATACATTCTGCAAAGGTGCAACAATCATTCTCTGCCCGGGATGCACATTCATTCCAGTCTGTAATTCAAAAACCAAAATTCAATAAGCAAAGCAATTTTGGTTAGGTTAACTGGGACTAGAATGAGAAATAATGCAGTAATTTCTCCAAGGCCTGGGAGATCTAAAGACCTAATACTAGTTTCCTCTGTACTATAACTGAGAAGCTATGCAAGTTTGACATTAAATTAGATAGCCTACCTTCTACTCGAGAGCTATTCTGGTCAACAAGGAATGCAGAACTGTTGAACAGTGATGAAATCATTGGCTCAAATGCAGACAAGTCTTTTGGAAATAATGGGTCTTCTACTATGATTTTAAGTCTCACAACGATGCTACCAGCTTTAAGAGAGTCTATTTGCACTTTCAGCTTTCCCATCTGGTATAATGTAGACATATTTGAAGGAAGTGACTTTCTGATCTGAAAACAGATAAGAGAACTATTGCTAGTTTAATGTAAAACTATATACACTGAATTTTGTTTTCCACAACACTATCACGTCTGTATTCAGAATTTGTAGAAAAACCTATGTTCCATGGTGCACCCACAAAAAAGTGGTAATTTAGTAGGCTACCTGAAACTTCCATTAATTCAGATGGTTCTACACAGTTGTCATTCACTTGCTCCACAATGGTAAAAAAGATGTAGCACTTTAGTTGGAATAGCATATAAATTAATGCCCTATACCTATAGTATCCAATTAAAGTGTTCTAACTCATAATGTGCCTCTTTCCATATGATTATTTGTCACAACTTTACAAGAATGGTGTTGGTGGGAAAACAGCTAACCCCTTGAGAAACCATGTTGGAATTTATGCATGTTATGAAAGAGGATTTGGTGCCTTGGTGAAGGAATATGGTAGCATTATCAGCTTAACACGTAAAATGGAAGTTGTTCCTGGTGCAGTTATCATCCTATATCTTTTGCTAGGACCCTCTGCTATAAAATATAGTACTTATTGTGAATAACATATCCCATTTTTTATTTTTTTTAAAAAGGAGTTTATATTTTTAGTATTACCTCAGTCATCAGAATGCTAGAAAATGCCTGATATTCGATACTGCTAGCGTTGAGGAGCTGATCCGTGAAGTTATAATTCAAGATCCTTATTGTTAAACCAAATACTAAGGCATCTAAAAGACAAAATATTAAGTGAGTAATATGGGTGGTGGACAGACAGATCTATCAAAACACATTTCAAAACTATATGACTATATGACAAAACTATATGACAAAACTATATGAATTAGTAGTTCATACTAATTATGATGTGACAGTAATTAATCTAGGCAATGACGATTAGCTATAAATCTGCACTGACTCATTCAAGTGGGCTGAGTAGAGATGATGAAATGTAGCTGAAGGTCTGACCTGAAATATGAACACAATATCTTGGACAGTCCAGATTTATACTAGGAAAACCAAATTCTAAAATGGTTGTTACCTGTCTTTACTTTTCTACTTGAGACAGTCTTTTTCCCACAATCTTCAGCACTGATGTTCACTGTGTACATTATGCCTGATTCCAGATTGAACACATCTAGTTTGGTATCAATGGTTTCTATTTGTTGCACGAGTTCTTTGCCTTTGAATATTTCTATATTGAACGAATGGTTCCGTGTCGAATTCACACTCCAAGCCACTTCAAAACTGCTGCTAGTAACACCGAAGATCTTGTGGTTTCTAATAGCTGGAGCATCTGAAATAGCAATTAGGTGAGAGGTACCACAGTTGCATGTGTACTATGTAATCTTACTCAAAGAAGTAATCCCTGTTATAATCCATGGGCTTTATTCAAAGGTAAATATGCATACAATTGCAGCCCTTAAGTAATAATAGGAATACAAATTCACTGTGCATTTATATAAAATTGCCTCCTGACATTAAATTTAAATGCTAGATTGACCATTTATAATCCTAATCCTACTTTAATCATTTGTTAATTCATTCAGTTGCATTTGTGGCATGCAGCAGAAAGAATGTAGTTGGTCAAGGGAGCCATGGACCCAAAAAGGTTGAAAACCTCTGCACTACAGAATTAAACAAAAAGAAAACATCTGCTACACACCTATTATTTTCTTTTTTCTTCCTTCATTGTTCACTTTATAGTTCTTTAAGTGAGGAGAATACAGTTACCAGCAAAAAATCTGAGCTATATCATTATCACTGCTATACATGAATTCTTACCTTATTGCCTAGGTATAGAACCGTATATGCATTTCTTTGAGATTTGGAGATAAAAAATGCTTCATCAACTTCAATAGAAATGTTCAAACTCAACTGAAGTCAGCAAAGTACATAGTCAATATAAAATGTATCCCAAGCCCCTAATGATCCAGGATTGCTTCCATGTATATGAAGGACTTGTGGGACTGTTTACTTTTGGCCCCAAGGGTTGAATGGTCAGAGTAATAGCTGACCCTCCAGATTGTTAGGGGCACAGTGATGAAAAGGGAAATAGGGGGCTCAGAATTAATGATTTTGGTTTCTGACAAAAATATTCTAGGAGCTTGTTATCTGCCCAACTTATATGTAATTTTTAAATAGACAGATGCTGCAACCTACAAGAGGTGTCCAGGGCTCTTTCCTCCAAAGGAAAGAGATCTTCTAAAGCTGATCTTAATCTCTGGGCTACTCAGGGAATAAGAGAATGTGAAGAAATGCATTACAACATCTGGAAAAGACATCACTATAATGAGATTGAGAAACTGCATGTCATTTTTATTTTATTTTTACAAAATTAATACAAGATTGACTTGTGGCAGCATTCCTGTGTCATACCAAAGTAGTAAAAAAAAAAGTCCTTAAGCTGAACACCATTCTATTTCTCACATCCAAAGTATTTGGCTACCAATGACAGTCCTGCCATGCAGCAGGATGAAATGATTTGCTTCAGACGAATTGGTGTATATTTGGAGCAACAAGACTTTTCTAAAGTGTCAACCCTGGTGTGGGGGAGGCAAAATCTGTGAGCCACTTCAGGCACCAAAATGTCTTGGGCCAACATGGATTGTCACAAGATGAAAACATCTACATTTCTTAAGAAGTTAAAGCAATATAAAATGTTGAAGATTTATATTATATTATTTTGAGGGGGACTTCTTTAATAAACGCATTCTGAATTCTGCAATTGAAACATTATTCAGTGCTGTATTAAAAGGCAAATTCACAGGAGTTCTGTTACATAAATAGTAGTGGTATGCAGGACTGTGGAAACCACATGCCATGTCTTGACAGGAGTTAAATATTCAACAGCGTCATGTTTATTCATTCATGCAAATGTAAGTTTCTTGATTCAATTAGCTTAAAGAAGTGGCTAAATCTACAGCAGAATAAGCAATTATGCAAGCTATTAAAATTCTCCAGGCAAAAACCAACCATGTAGAAAAGACAAAATCTTCAGTACTTCATTGCTAGAGAACTCACATTTCTTAAAATGATATTTTGCTGCAAGAAACAAAGTTTTCAATACAGAAAACTTTATCAAGGAAGCTTTTGTGTACCAGTCTGAGGCCTCAAAATGGCCAAGTATATTTACAGACCCAAAGTATTGCTGCAAGCTACCCTGGTCTCTGAGCAGTAAGGGGTTCCAGGTGCTTATACTCAGGGTTTGGTTTCCTTGGATTAAGCCATAGCAGAGACTGTAGTGTCTTTATGATATATGGTTTATTTACACATGTATACAACTTCAGCCTATGATGGAGGGGATCACATAATTAACACCCCAAGAAGGTCTTGTTTCTCCCATAGGTGCAGCCTTGAATTCAAGTAGACACCAGCCATGTCTCTCTCTCTCTGTCTTTCCAGCCTGTTGCATTTTTGCATCCAGTTTCTAGCTCACATAACTCCTAACTCTAACTTCCCATAGTTAGAGTTGGATTCCAGCAGAAGTCAAGAACGGCTCTGACCCCAGCTTCTGCCTGCAACCAGCCTCCAGCTGTCACACACTCTGGCTTTTGTCTTTCTCACTACCAGACAGGTGAGGGAGGGGGCCCATCCATTTGCCCCTGGGCACTGAGCAACTTCTTTTGTTATACTAACAATGGTCCTTCGGGCCATTAACTCACTCACAAAAAAAACTTGCCTGACCTCCATTAGATTTGAACCATTGCTGGATCTAGGACCCCAGGGATTAGAAGAGACTCAGGAATCCTACAGACTACTGTCCCAAAGTCACAACAGCATTATCTAGTGTATGAATTGGTTCCATTTATGTAATTATGTATTAATGGTATCATTTTACGTAAACTGCCTGGCAAATTTCTACTGAACGGTGGTATGTACAATAAATGAATTGTTTGCTTTGCTGGAACTAAGGTGAATTCAGACAGCTAGTTTTCTACCCTAGGGTGACTTCTATTTACGTCACAGTGGAGATCTACACATATCCCAATGTCACAATTTTTTTCTCATGTGGTCAGTTTGTTCTGACTGATACTTTGTACATGCCTCAGAAGCAAGACCTTAAGGTCAGCCCTGATGAGACTGTGCAGGGGTTGGACTGACAAGCCCTGCACCTTCTAGGTCCCTGTTGTCACCATTCAGAGTACAGACTCAATGACTTGTTATGGAAATAAAGGGGGGCACTTATTGGAAATCAATTTTGTCACCTCTTCCCCCCCCAAACCCTCAGACAATGAGCCCAGCCTCCTTTTATTCCCAGTCGCATAAGTACTACACTACAGCATGGCCATAAACTTGTACGTTCAACTGCTGAAATATACACCCAATATATAGCGATGGAGATTTATGTTAGTGCTTTATGAATGAACACTGTGTTTTATGAATGGACTCTGTATTTTGTGAATTACCTAAGAGCCACCAATAGGGAGCTCTAGAATCTGACAGCTAACCAATTGGGTACTACCAAACAGCGACCCCTATTGCTGAAAGCAGGTAACCAGCAGGGAATGCTTCAGCTCAGCCTTTGCACTGTTGACTGAACACCCCCTGCTGTGCAGATAATGGAGAAAGCTCATAAATTGTATCCCTTCTGGCATCCTGGCCAACTCTATTACACAGGTGTAAATCCTGGTGCACCAGAAGCACAGAATAGCAGCAAATAAAATCCGCTCATACGTCAGCAACTGATAAGATTTGTCAACCAGTTCTTCCAAAGTCTTCCTAAATTATAAAGCTCCAAAATACAGGCCAAAAGAGAGCAGGTCTGGGAAGAGCGAGGCATACAATGGGCACCACCAGTGAAAAGGCCCTGCTCCGTGTAACTCCTGCCCTGTCATTTGATAGAGTGCCCATTTGCCCTCCTTCTTAACATGGAATGCTCTCTATTGGAGTCTCCAGGTCCAGTACAAAGACCATAAGAAGGGAGAGCAGGGACCCTGAAGTTCCCAACAGCTGTTAAGCAAGCAAGCAAGGACACAGGTCACCTTTGTCACAGTCAGGACGCCTATGTCGTGGCCAGGCCTGCACCCAATCTTGTTTTTGTACAATCTTGTTTATCCTCAGTAACCAAAATTATATTATCAACATATACAAGCAGAAAAGTTGTTTTCCTTCATTTGCAAGGAATTGTCCAAAACAAAGTGGCACTAATAAAGAAAAGTTCCAGGGTGGCAACAGAAAGCAAACTAAAAATGCTTTTGCAGTTCATCAAACTATCCAGCAATATCAAGTTATAGGAAAACTGGTGCTATTAACAGTAACCCTTCTAGTTGGTTAATTGGTTCGGCAACTTCCATGCACATGGCGTGTGATGCTAATGGTAACTAATCAGAGACAGCTACAGGGGAGCTATGAGATTCAGGTGAGGGTCAGATGCCTTGTGAATCCCAGCAGGTATATAAGAGTACGACCCAGCCTGCCCTGCCCAGGAGTTTGCTAAAACAGTCATAGCAGATACAGCTGTTGTTAGTAACTCAGAGAAGGTTTGGGAACCTTCAAGCCTCCAAGATGTCCAAAGTTTAACCTCAGAGGATGCTGAGCCTTGGTTAAATGCCATGAAGTCTGAACTTCATTCCTTAGAGAGGAGCAGGACATGGGGACTAGTTCCAGGCCTGCCCAGGCCACAAAAGGTGTACAAAGTTCAGTTACTGCAAAAGTTTTTCAGTGTTAATTTTATGCATTTTTTAAAATCACCATGGTATTTAACAATACAGTGGTACCTTGGGTTAAGTACTTAATTCGTTCCGGAGGTCCGTTCTTAACCTGAAACTGTTCTTAACCTAAAGCACCACTTTAGCTAATGGGACCTCCTGCTGCTGCCACACCACTGGAGCACAATTTCTGTTCTCATCCTGAAGCAAAGATCTTAACCCGAGGTAATATTTCTGGGTTAGCGGAGTCTGTAACCTGAAGCGCATGTGTCAGGGGTTCAGGAGCAGAGGCAAGGGCAAGGGAGGAAACAGAGAGCGAGGGGGAGGAGGCAGAAGAAAAGATGAGTGATGACGACGACCCGAGATCTCCGAGTCTTTCCAGTGAATCAGAAGATTCACAGAAAGGAGCACCAGTGGCCAGGGCAAGGGGGGAGCCTAGGGGGACACCCCAGGAAGATAGAGCCAGAGGGGACTCAGAGGGGAGCAGTTGGAAATCGGGACCAACGTCACCGCCAGAGAGCAGGGAAGAGGAAGGGCGCCAGGGATCAAGCGCTGGCAACTCACAACAGGGGGGAGGGCACGAGTCAGGAGTGGCCACACCTCCATCGGGGAGCGAAGAAACGGTCAGACGGAAGGTGGAAGGTTGGGCGCGCGCGCCAAGTTCAAATGCACAGGAAGGTGGCGCAGTAGGCAGCCCGGAAAGGAGCCAGGTCCTAAAGCCCGCCGAAAGGAGGGAGAAGAGTCAGGGAGTCAGCGTCAGCGTCAGAGGAATCCCGGAAGGAAGAGACCCCGGGGGGCAGAGGGACCCAGAGAAGAACAGTCAGGCGGAAAAGGTGGAGCAGGGCTAGGATATTAAGTTGGTGTACAAGGGGCGGAGACTCAGACGGAGCTTCGCCGATCTAAGCATGAGACGTAGAGTTGCACGCAGCAGCTTGAGAATGGAAACTGTAACTCAATAAAGACTTTGTTTAATGATCGCTGGCTAGCGTGATCCTCTGTGAGCTAGGATCTGGAAGCAGCTCTGACAGTAAGCTCCGTCTCCTAAATTGTGGGCATCTACGGCCTCGCGGAGAGGAGAGAAAGCGGGTGCCTACTAGCGAGCTCACGAACGGCAGACAATATGACGGCCGAACAGCAGATAGCGGAACTCAGAGAAGCAGTGTCACGACTGAATGCCGAGGCTCTTGCATCCAGGAAGAGAGAGGAGGACGCAGCTGCCGCCTACAGGGATCTCCAGGTCAGGTTGGAAGTGCTTACGAGCAAGGGCAACTGACACCCAAACCGGAGGGGATTGGGTTGGGGAGACGAACAGGCGGTCTGGTCTCTCACTTCGATGGGAATTTGCAACAGTACCCCAACTTTAGAGCAGATGTAATGTGTGCACTGCAACTGCTGAACAAAGACTTTAGAGATGAGCAAGAGAAGGTGGGATTCATCATGTCCCATTTGCATGGAGATGCTAAAGCATGGCTGCGCAATTTGTGGAGAGATAAGGATCCGGCGCTCCAAAATGCGGATGCCTTTATTAAAGCGATGGATGGGTGCTTTTATCAAGCATTGACGTGGATCTTGCTCGGCAGCAGATACATGGACTGAAGCAAGGAGGGCCAGCGTAAGGCAGTACCATGCCCGCTTTTCGCTTTGGTCAGTGCTCTGGAATGGGACAGAGATTCGGCTCCTGTAAGAGACCTGTTTTGGGAGGGATTGCACGGCTCGGTTAAAGATGAAATTGCGAGGGGAGAGACCCCGGACCACGCAGGAGATCGCTCAGAGGGCGCTGGCGGTGGGGTGCGGCTGGAAGAACGTCCGTGGAGCAGGGACGAAGGGCGTGGAGGGCGCGAACCAGCCAGGGGCTCCTCCTTCCTTCCCAGAGAAGCAGCGCGTGCGCAATCCACGCCTCCGCCAGGAGGAGGAGCGGAACCTATGGAGGTTGGAGGTGCAAGGGCTCAGTCAGCAGCCAGAGCCCTAGCACCGGCAGCAGTGAAAGCGAAGCCTCCTAGAGGGAACAGGAAGTGCTACATCTGCGATGATCCACAGCATATGGCGAAAGAGTGTCCCCAGAGGCTCCACAAGCACACTGCAGCCTCAGCAATGGTAACTGCAGCAACGCAGCAAGGAGAACCACGGCAGGGAAACGACGGAGTCTGGCTGGAGAAAGAGGCACTGGGGCCCAGCCAGACGTGTCAGTGAAGCAGTCCCCAGAGATTTTACAGCCCATGGACCCCTCCCGCCCAAACCAGTAGTGAGGCTCACCGCGTCGCTCCAGCTGCCCAATGGCATCACCATGGACGTGCCAATCACCATTGACTCCGGAAGCAATGCGGACTTTATAGGGCAGGACTTTGTCGACCGGCACGCTATACAGTTGCTGCCTGCCACGCTGCCCCTGCAGGTTGTCACGGTGGATGGCAGGGAGCTGCTAGGGGGGCAAGTGGTGAAGCAGACGCCACCAATGGTGATGAGACTTGGGAATCACAGGGAAATCATCAGCTTCAATGTCACTCAACTATCGGACACGCCCATTGTATTGGGCATGAGTTGGCTGGACAAGCACAGCCCGACGCTGGCTTGGTACCAGAGGCAGCTGACCTTCGGCTCTTCCTTTTGCGCTGAACACTGCATCGTGCCCCGGCAGGAAGGAGAGGAAGAGGAGTCACAGCTGCAGCTAGGCACGCTGCAAGCGGTTCCCCACAAGTACGCAGCATTTTTGGAGGTTTTCTGTGAGAAGGAGGCAGACAGGCTACCCCCACAGACCATATGATTGCAGAATTGACCTGCTGCCGGGGCGGCGCTGCCCAAAGGGAAGTTGTATTCCATGTCTGAGGATCGAACTGCAGGAACTCAAAGAGTTCATAGATCATAATTTGGAGCGCGGTTTCATCCGAGAGTCCAAGGCAGCGGGGGCAGTCCGGTATTCTTTGTTAAGAAGCGGGACACGCCCCAAAAAGACTTGTAGTGGACTATCGCATTTTGAACAGCGTGACCAAGCCATCGGACTTCCCCATGCCCCGAATCGACGACCTCCTCGCAAAGGTACGGAAGGGCAGCGTGTTCACCAAGTTGGACCTGCGAGGGGCGTACAACCTCATTCGCATGCGGGAAGGAGATGAGTGGAAGACAGCCATGTTCACGCCCTGGGCACCTACGAATATAGAGTTATGCCTTTTGGATTGCAAAATGGTTCCCACGTTTTTCAAGCTTTCATGCATCACGTGTTGGCGGGGCTCTCTACAAGACGTGCGTCTGTTTCTTGGATGACATCCTGATCTTTTCGGAATCGCAGCAGGAGCATGACAGGCACGTCAAGGAAGTGCTGAGCAGGCTACAGCAACATAGGCTTTACGCCAAGCTGGAGAAGTGCCAACTCGACGTGACGGAGGTGGATTTCTGGCCACAAGTTGTCTGATAAAGGGCTCGCCATGGACAGCACCAAGGTCCGAGCAGTGTTGGATTGGAAAAGCCCACGCAACCGGAAGGAGGTCCAACGGTTTGTCGGCTTTGCGAACTTCTATCGCAAGTTTATCAAAGGCTTTGCCATGCAGACAGCGGCCATCACGGACACGCTCAGCTCCAAGAAAAGAAGTTCATCTGGACAGAGCAGGCGGAGCAGTCCTTTCAGGCACTCAGCCGCCTCTTCGCGTCGGAAGAGCAACTGCTTCATGTCAACCCCAGCAGGCCGATGAGGGTGGAGACAGACGCTCGGACAGAGCCGTGGGAGCAGTCCTGCTGCAGAAGGACCCGCAGGGGGTTTGGAGGCCGGGAGCGTTTTACTCAAGGAAGCTCAGCAAGTCCGAACAGAACTACACCATCTGGGACAGGGAGTTGCTGGCCATTCATGCAGCGTCAAAGCGTGGAGGCACTTCCTGATCGGCGCCAAGCACACGGTGCAGGTCTGCACGGACCACAAGAATCTAGAGCACTGGCGCACGGCACAGTTCCTGAACCAGAGGCAGATACGTTGGGCTGAGTTCTTTGCGAATTTCGACTCCGAATAGAGTATGTCCCGGGGGACACCAACATCATGGCGGATGCTCTCTCCCGTAAGCCACAGTATTTGGAGGAGGCAACGCCAGCGGCCGCCATGCACATCTTCGCACCGACAGTGTGGGCGTGCACGGCGGCGACAGTTGACCTGGAGGCGGTGCGACGAGCGTTGCAGGATGACTCCTTCGCGCAAGCAAAGATGGCAGAGGCGCACAGGGGCACGGCAGCGACCGACGAGTTCCAGCTGCGAGATGGTTTGCTCATCCGTAAAGGGGCCATCTACGTGCCGGGAGACGAACTTCGAGCCAAGGTACTGCAGCAGCTGCACGACGCGCCCACTGCCGGGCACTTTGGCAAGGAGAAAACGGTGGAATTAGTAGCCAGAGACTTCTGGTGGCCAGGAATGAGAGGGAAGTCGCGGACTACGTCGCGAGGTGTGACACCTGCCAGAGCGCCAAACCACTGCACACACCTCCGGACGGACCGCTGGAACCGCTGCAAACTCCGCTCGAACCATGGGAGAGAGTGGCCCTGGACTTTGTCACGGATCTGCCCAGCTCGAGGGGCAAGACGGCTGTGCTGGTGGTGGTGGACTTGTTCTCCAAGATGGCACATTTCATTCTGTGTGCGAAGGTGGCCACGGCGGAACAAACCGCCAAACTGTTCATAGACCACGTGTTCAAGGTTCACGGTCTGCCGCGGTCTATTCTGTCCGACCGAGGGCGACAGTTCATCTCGAACTTCTGGCAGAGGCTGATGGGCTTCCTGAACGTCAAGATCAACCTGGCGTCGGCTAGACACCCGCAGACCAATGGGCAAGCGGAGCGGGTCAATGCCATCATGCAGCAGTACCTGAGATGTTATGCGAATCAACAGCCTGCGACGTGGGTGGATTACCTGCCTCTCGCCGAGTTCGCCTACAACAACACGAAGCACGTGTCCACGGGGGTCACGCCGTTCTTCGCCAACAACGGGAGGCACCCCAGAACCTTCCCGGGACTGGAAAGAATGGGGGAGCGGGAGCCGCAGACATCAGATGCAGTCGCGTCGGAGTTGCAGGAGGTCCACGATCAGCTGCGGCGGCACCTGGAGCTGGCTAAACACGCATACAAGGTACAAGCGGACAAACACAGAAGGGTTGGCGAAGAGATCCAAGTGGGAGACTGGGTCTGGTTAGCAGCCCACGCAGTGCCGGCCAGGTCGTTGGCGAAGAAGAAACTAGGGCATAAACAACTGGGGCCCTACCAAGTCGAAGAACAGGTCAACCCGGTGGCTTTCAGGCTGGCTCTTCCGGAGGGTTCCAGAATGCATCCGGTGTTCCACAGATCGGTGCTCACTCCCTACAAGGCACCTCACAGGTTTCAGGAACCAGGAACGGCACCGGGTCCGCTCCGAGAGAGAACCGGGCAGGGGGGAGTGGCACGGGGGAGCGCATCAACGAAGTCACGGAGATTTTGGACTCCAGATGGTGGGAAGAGGGGTAGAATACCTTCTCGCCAAGGAGGGCACCCCGACCAGTGCCAACAGCTGGGTGCCGGGCTACGCTTTAGACGAACCTCTGCTCAAAGAAGAGTTTCATGCCCTCTTCCCACATAGGCCAATGCCAGCAGACTTTTTCGACGACTGGCTTTTCACGCCCACGCTTCAGCCAGCACGTCCGGGGTTCGACTCGGACGAGGAACCGACACGAGACGCCCGTTCCCCGGAGGGGTCACCCTCAGGATCTGCTTCAGAACCCTCGTATTGGTGGGATGATCGACCAGAGGAGCAGTTCCGTAGAAGGTGGCTGGAGGGTCCAGGACGAGCAACGTCTCCAGAAGGCAACGAGGAGAGACGGACATGGACTTTTTCGGGACGACCCGGGCTTCGAGCACGGCGGCACAGAGATGGAAGCGGAGGTGACCGGCGCCAACGAGAGCAGGGAGGAAGAACCGGAAGACTTCAGATGGCGGCCAGCCACGGGAAGCGAACTGTTTCCGACATTGGTCCGCCTGACACGGCAGCACCCAGATCCCGCACCGGAAGGAGGGGAGGGGGAAGAGGGGCTTCGAGGGGGATGGATGTCAGGGGTTCAGGAGCAGAGGCAAGGGCAAGGGAGGAAACAGAGAGCGAGGGGGAGGAGGCAGAAGAAAAGATGAGTGATGACGACGACCCGAGATCTCCGAGTCTTTCCAGTGAATCAGAAGATTCACAGAAAGGAGCACCAGTGGCCAGGGCAAGGGGGAGCCTAGGGGACACCCCAGGAAGATAGAGCCAGAGGGGACTCAGAGGGAGCAGTTGGAAATCGGGACCAACGTCACCGCCAGAGAGCAGGGAAGAGGAAGGGCGCCAGGGATCGAGCGCTGGCAACTCACAACAGGGGGGAGGGCACGAGTCAGGAGTGGCCACACCTCCATCGGGGAGCGAAGAAACGGTCAGACGGAAGGTGGAAGGTTGGGCGCGCGCGCAAGTTCAAATGCACAGGAAGGTGGCGCAGTAGGCAGCCCGGAAAGGGAGCCAGGTCCTAAAGCCCGCCGAAAGGAGGGAGAAGAGTCAGGGGAGTCAGCGCCAGCGCCAGAGGAATCCCGGAAGGAAGAGACCCCGGGGGGCAGAGGGACCCAGAGAAGAACAGTCAGGCGGAAAAGGTGGAGCAGGGCTAGGATATTAAGTTGGTGTACAAGGGGCGGAGACTCAGACGGAGCTTCGCCGATCTAAGCATGAGACGTAGATCTGCACGCAGCAGCTTGAGAATGGAAACTGTAACTCAATAAAGACTTTTGTTTAATGATCGCTGGCTAGCGTGATCCTCTGTGAGCTAGGATCTGGAAGCAGCTCTGACAGCATGTAACCCGAGGTACCACTGTAATATGTCCTTTAGAGGAGAAATTGTGAATTGTATAATTTTAAATATCCGTCATCATCCTTAGCTTCACTCAATTTTGTTTATAACACTCTTCCATTTTCTTCTAGTTATGAGGGTGGGAGATAGGGAGGGGCCTCACAAGTGGAGTAGCCTAGGGCCTCTCTTCATCTAAGTCCGGCCCTGTTCACAGCCTATTTCTGTATACAGTGGTACCTCGGGTTACATACGCTTCAGGTTAAATACGCTTCAGGTTACACACTCCGCTAACTCAGAAATAGTGCTTCAGGTTAAGAACTTTGCTTCAGGATAAGAACAGAAATTGGGCTCTGGCGGCGCAGCGGCAGCAGGAGGCCCCATTAGCTAAAGTGGTGCTTCAGGTTAAGAACACTTTCAGGTTAAGAACAGACCTCCGGAATGAATTAAGTGCTTAACCCGAGGTACCACTGTACTTACATTCTGCTGTTAAGTATGGGACTTTAAACTCTGTTCAACCCACATGCGTGGGCACCTGGTGGGATAAATTGCAATCAATATAACCTCGCCTACCTATTAAAACACATTCTACAGTTTGCACATTCAACTGTATTGAGCAGTCATGTGATGAGAAAACAAGTAATGCACATGCACATTCAATTAGTTTTCTTCACAGTGAAAAAGGAATTAAACGAGTCTGTGAAAAAAGAAATCTGTAATGGAATGGATGGCTGATTTCTTCATACAAGCCACCAGATGTCACTGTAGATATCAGAACTCAGGCAGACTTCAGGAGAGAAATAAAATATCCTTCTATGTTCATTTAGGACTTATTTTTTGTTTGTGTGGTGCTCTACTCCCTACTGCCTCTAAGAAAAAATGAGCCAAAAGGCGGCCATGCACTATTTCCCTTAGACAAAGTGGATGCAAAAGGTAATAGTTTTTAAAAGAAAATGTAACTTACAGCATTTCGAATCCTCTGGTCTGCTGAGTTCCTGTGATGCAGATGTTGAATTTGTAGCTGAAACAGAAGAATTTCTTATTTTAAATGGAACATTGAGTGAATCTGGACCAGAGTCTGTGGCATCTAAAATAATAATAAAGCAGACAGAATTACAAAGCAACTCCCAGAACTCCCCTCTTCAGAAGTGCTCGCTTTAACTATTCATTGAACAAATGGAACCTGCAACAAAAATTGTGGCGGTTTTCTTTTCATCCATGCCCTCTCCTGTGTGTTGTTGGTAGTTTTGGCTATGTAAGTGTGAGCAAGGGAAGGCTCAAATCAGTATCTGCATGTATCAGGAGTAGCAAATGTGGTGTTGTTGAACTAAGGCACCCATCAGCCTTGATCACTGTCTCTGCTGGCAATAATGTGTGCTTTTGCATTTGTCCATTTACTCCTGCCTTTGTTTAACATTTACCTATTTTCAGTTTAACATTTGGCCTATAGATGGGAAGTTATAATGCTGTTCATTTTACTTCAAAGAATGTTCAGATGCAGTGGGCAGCTATGTAACATATGTATTTAGCTTGACTTGGTTTAATCTTGTCTTTATGTACCCTTCCATAAGCTCATGTACTCAGGACAGTCCCTGATTAAATGCCCCAATCTTTGAAAGCAAGGCTGATGAATACGAAGAGCAGGACCTTTTCAGTGGTAGCTCTGCCTTGTTATATTTGTTTCTTAAGGCTGATGCAGACTTTAGATTTTTTTTTATCAAAAAAAAAACACCATCCACAACCACCACTACTATATTGTGAGAAGTGGAAGCACAAAGAAGACTGGAGCAGCAGTTTTGTGTTTAGAAAACACAGTATCTTGCATTTTTAATAATAATGGAATCAGTCCCTGCATTCTTCTATATGCCTTCATTTCAGATGCTGTATGGCTTATACCCATGAGGCCTACAAGGCTGCTTTCCCCACTCCCTTATGTGCAATATTTTGGGTTGGGTTGGTGAAGTCATAGCTACAACCCCATGTGCTTGCCACACAATTTGATTTCAAAGTGCCAGAGCAAAGGAAGAGGGGTTTACAGAGGCAAACTGATCGGTGGTGCCTGCAAACCCCTGTTCCTTTCTCTACATAGCTTAAATTCAAACCATTGTGAGCAAAGGAAAATGTGTCACCTGGCTTCCTAATTTCACATGATTGATAGCTGGGAAAGTGTGGGCAGTTATATCAGGGTTAGCCAGCCTCAGCACCATCTTCTGTGGTTCTGGGTGAGGCTCTTCTTTCACAACAATTTTATTTAAAAGCATTCCCCCATCCCGCCTCAGGCTTTTGGTACAATAAAATGGTCTGCTTGTTTAATGTTCTTTTTATTCTATGCCACTCATTTTGATTTTATAGTCTATGTGGCTTTTAATTGGTTTTAAATGGATTTTATTGTAAAACTTCTCAAGGACTTGCTATAGCCAGAAGGGAAAAATACAAATTGAAAAACAAAGCACATTTTATTTGACCAAAATTTCCTACTACTTTATACTTTGGTAGATTACTTAAAAGGGGTATCCATTTGTATTCATTCTCAGAAGTATCCTTATGAGAACTCCTGGGTTAATACAAATTTCTTGTCTGCAGCAGACATTGAATTCTGCTTAAGAACATTCATTTCCTTTTGATGAAATTAAATGTAAAATAGAGGCTTTACAAACTTCTTGGTTTTGATACACACACAAAAAACAACAACCCCACAGATAAAATAACATGCCAGGCCAAATCCCAAAATAGCTATATAAATCTGAGCTAACTTTGAGGCTACTTAGCAGTTGATATAAATCCTTGAGCAGAATCTCGAGAGTATTTTGTGCAGCTGGAAGCCAAAACAAAAAGGGCTTCTGGAAAGTCTCACAGTGTGAAAGAGAGGTTTGTCAATGTCACCCACACATTGCAAATTATACATGGGATCCACACAATTTCCTCTTCAGCCTAAGGATCCCAGTTTCTCATGTTTACAAAGTACCTTACAGAGGGTCCTAGTTCTCATTTGTAAGTTAAGTTCATAAAGCTTTACGTAACTATTTCCTCACAACTATGCAAATGGCAGATATATTTCAAATGTTACAACCTTGAACAACTATGTCGATAACTTCATACACTCGCATCACAATATCCTTCAACAAAGAAGAAACGTTTGCCAATGGAACCAGCTCTTGCAGTCCAATCAGAACCCGGGAAACCAATGTCTCTGTATAGGGTTCTGCCTGTGTGGTACGAATATGATACACTGAGACATCCAGGGGCCATAGTGCACCAGTAATCTGTAAAAGGAAGAAACTCTTTTTATATATTACATAACTGTGTGAAACTTAAGTCATGCAGTTAATCCTTTCGTGTTAAACACACATGGAGGAAATAGTACAATCAAAATTAGTCAATAAATAAAGGCCATGAGCTTGACCCCCAAATCACCCTTGCATGGGCATCACAGTGTACGCCTAGAGCCACTTTGCTCAATGAATGTGGCCAGTGGTAGCATGGCTGTCAAGTGCTCTGGCGGCAAGGGGTGGGCTAGCTGGCATGGTCCTGCAACTTTCTTATTCATGCTTTAAACATGTAAGGGGTTAATTTGAACCTGCTACTGAAACTTTGGGATCTTAGAAGCCAGATTTATAACGTAACACATAATAGTTCTGCCTTTGGCACGCCAAGTTTTTGCTAATTACATTCTGCACACCAAGCGTTTGCTGCTTAGTTGGTTGTGAAAATACAAGCAAATCCTGCTTTTGATCAAGATTCATGCAGAGTAAAAGTCTGGCTCTGTGCGTTGAGAGCAAAAGGTCGGAGAGAGAGAATATGGGTATTTGCAAGCTTATATATTTAAGGGGAAGCCTTATGTGCCTCTTCAGGTGTATCTTGAGTAGAATGAAAAGAAGATTGCATGCATGTACTTATAGGAGCCTATGCCTTTTAAGGTGAGGAGTGCATGTGTGTTAAGGAGGAAGTACAGATGTCTTTTCTGATGATTTGTGCCTTCTCCAGTAGGTGGTAGTCATAGGACCTATTTAGTTTCTGTTGCACCATTACAACAGAATCAACAGAAGTGTATGTAGTAGAATGAAGACTACTGTATTTATTTATTTATTCATACCATAGAGTGCAGAAGCCGTGAATGATTCAGAAGTTTTGGATCCACTCTTTTTAACTCATCAAAATCCATTTTCACCAGGACTGACACGTCATACCAGTATCTTGGCACTGTTTGCTCTGGAATTGAAGAGAGGAAACCATTTATATGTAGTGTGAACATTATATTAATGGAAAGGTTTTCAGTTACCACAGTGGACTTTTCATTTACAACAGCCATGTTTAATCTGCTCAGCAAATCAGTGATACATCAAAACCAGTCATCCTTCTGATTTCTTAGTCTCAACTATGAAATGATTATCAAAAGTATATCTCCTGAGCAATCATGTACTGTGTTTTTTTTAGATTCTGTAAACCTGTTTTAATTCTTTTTATTGGCTTTTCAAAGTTCCACCTAAACACACATTCAGACTGGTATTCTATGCCCTGTGGAAATGTCCCATTGAATTGAATGGGACTTATTTCTAAGTAGATATGCATACAATTGCTCTATTAGCCTTTCAGCCTTTCAAGTGTTCGGATCAGTGACACTCTTCTAAAAGGTAAAAAGCTAGAAGGAAGGCTATCTGAGAAGCATAATCTTTTACTCACCTAGTTAAGGCAAATTTGTTTCCCTGTTAAATAAATTAGGAATTAGACTTTGTGTTTCTACAGACAATATGATCTGGCCTTTTCCTTCCACCACCATACAAAACTATCCCATGCATGAGTACTCAGAAGACCCAGGTAAGTGTTTACATAAAACTGCAACCTTCAGTAGATAAAGGGCTGTTTTTGCTGGAGGGAAAGGCCACAGACACATGAATATTTCAGGTCCCTTCTAGAAATTTCCTTGTGAAAGTATAAGGGTTAACAAACTGCCTAACTGTTTCCTAAGAAGAAGGCCTGTTTTCCCTTTCCAGTGTTCTGACCAATGTATGCAAAGGCATTGGGATGACAGACAAGCACTAGCCTTGCATAAAATTACAGTGCCTATTATTAATATCAAATACAATTGAATAATGTTAAGGATATTAGTCTACCTACATCTAGGCTCTGACTGCCCTGCATTGATGCACTGTGTGCACTCTAAGGCATGCCTCACCACAACATTTCTGATCACAGACCTGTCAGAAGGCAGCAAATGTTGGTCAGTACTGTACCTTCTGATACAGGATCAGAACAGCCAGTGCCTTTTGATGTCTCACAGCATTTTTTATGTTCTGGACAATCCAAATCCAATCTGCATGAAATATTTAATGCTTCCGCTTCCTTTGTTGGACAGGCACCAGGTCTTGAGGCAAATTCACCGGAACTGTTTAGGGCTACAGAACAAGACATTTAACAACAAAAATTACATCTACTGGTAAGGATTTAAAGTTCTACTTTAGGCATGTCCAAGAGCTTGAGTATGACTTAGCAGGATTTTTTTATTCCTCTCTTCCCACCACACGTACACATGCACTGCTTACCCCACCATGCCATACCTCAAGATGCTATTGAATGTCTTTCTTTGGAGACTGGGGAGGCGGACTATTAATCAAGAAACTCACTGAGTACTTTGGATCTTAGCCAGCATTTGTTTTCATTAAAGCTATTCTATCTTCCTCGTAACAACACTGGATGCAGCTTGGACAGCTGCTCCTTTGGGAACAACATCATGCATTTACAACACAATTAACACACATAGCTTTCTCCCAAAGAATCATAGGAAATGTAGTTTACCCCTTAGTGATGTACAATTCTTGGCACCCTTAACAAACTACACTTCCCATGAGTCTTTGGGGGAAGCAGTGGTGGACTTTGGGCCCTCAAATTTCAGCAACACCCTGTGCAACGCTAAAATTCGGCACCCCCACCTCCTCACACCACTCTAAAGCGTTGTTTTGGTGCTCCCTGCAGCGGGGTGCCCAGTGCGACCTCACCAGTCACGCCTAAAACCACCTCTGAGCAAAGTCATGTGTTGTAAATGTGTGGCGTGGCTGAGAGGAAACAGCAGGTGTCCAAGCTAAATAAACATGCCTGTAGATCCAGCCTATGTAATCTGCAAATGATGGCACAAACATGTAACAAGTCACAGCCACAAAAGTACCCTGAAAAATCAGCGCAAGGAACCGGGTTGTGTACCAATTCTGGCTCAGAGCCATAGAAAGCATTAATCTGAAATGTCAAGGTCTTCATTCTTACATCAGCCAAACACAAAGACAGACATCCAACATGTCCCTGTCAAAGTCTATCAAGCTATAATTGTTATATGAGCAACTCCCAGAGCGAGCCATCTGTCAAGCAACTGCTTAAAAGGTGGAAATCAGTTGACATGTTCCTTCGGTGAGTAGAAGCCTTCCTGATTTACTCACAAGGGTGGCAAAAATGTGTACGGTATACATGCATGAAAGCTCCATCATAACTAATATAAGGAGAATGGAATGACAAAGCGCTTGTAATATTTATTGTGCTTTATTATTTATTTTTAGAACTATTTTAAATCTGTAAACTGATTTGAAAAACTTTAGACCATCAGGGTTAATGTTACTGTTTTTGATGAAGAAAGACAGTGAATATTTATAAATATCTAATCAGATTTCCTATATAAACCACCCAAAGAGAGAGAGACAGAGAGTCACCACTTGCTGGTCCATATTTTTTGAGGCTGATGTATTTGTTGCATGTTCACTGCTGGTCTCCTGAAAATCACCTATAATATTGTTATAGGTGAACCATGTCTATGCAGTGGATATGCATCAGAAATCCACAGCTTCCTTGTGAGCATTCACTCTCCCTATGTGTTAATTAATTTAGCAGGATTTGCAGCACTAGTATAGTATTTATGTACCAATAGCCCATGAAAATGAGACACTGTACACAGATAAAAGATAACACAGCCTTGCCTACAAGCTTACAGTTTAAGCAAAGCATATGTTCCCTATTCTGACATTAGAATGTGTGTGTGGAAGCGCAGAGCGGACAAACAGGAAACTTATCTGCTACATAAAGTGTGAATTGGTCCTTAGTCCGCCATCCAAGCAGAAGTAAATTATGGTTTCCAGTGGGATTGTAGAAAATGTATCAAGGGAAAATTCTCACCGAAGAGCCACACAGAACTCTGAGCTCCAATCACTTAGTCAAACTAGCTTTGTCTGGGTTCTAACATAAGAGAAAACATTAACCGTAGTTTAGTGACATGCTGTTAATTCATCTCACTAGTTGTCAACTTCCTCTTTTCATCATTTATTTAAGACCATGTCTAGACAGTGCATTACCATTCACAGAAGCTGTGACTAAGGCTCTGAGGTCTAGAAAGAACGGTCTGAAGGAGACAAATGAAACACGCGCTGCTGAGGCTTAATGGGACAGCCCTAATGAGTAAGAAATTCAGAATTTAGAAAGCTTCTTTAACCTAACTGCAAGAAGAGCTTCTGCTCCACCAGGACCCTAGGGCAACTTCTGTCTAGGTGCCTGCCCACATTTAGAGTAGAAGCTCATGTCACTGAAGTTCTTAATTGTCTGATTTGGGGGTTGGACTAGATAACCCTACAATTCTGTGACTCAGAATATAATTTTGTTAAGCTTGTAATGCTGAGCTATCTTATGACTCAGCCAGCATTTCTCTCAGATGCTCTTCTCCAGCTAGAAAAGATTTTGCACACGTACAGTCAGCATTCAATGGACTACACAAGCCCAGCTGCTTTGTAGGCACCTTTGCAATAGTTATTGCTGCACATGACTGCAGCTCTTTTGCTTACTATGAAATGACATTAACAAAAACGGCATATTCTTTGTAGGCAGATTCACAAAATGCATTTTATTTTTATTGCCAAGCCCCTAATCTCACTGGCCAACTGCTGTAAACTATGTGACCAGACCACCTTACTAAGCTTCCATTTATTTGATAAACATTTTCTTTATTTGGATCAATTTGTTTCTACCAAACAAGACAATGTTTTATTGTCCACAACATTCTCATGTTCCCAAGTGCAATTGTTTGAGGGGGAAGCAGTTCAGTTTTCAAGCAGCTGTCCACCATCACAAGTGCTGGAAACTTCCGTTCCCAGGGAACAATATGACAATACACATATATGTTTGCAGAAACACAAGAGTGTCTGCACCAGTGTTACAAATGGAGATGAGACTCCTGCAAAATAAAGGAAATTTCCCCAGATCGCTTCCCTCCTTCCCCCTTCTTCTTCTTCTTCTTCTTTTCCCCCAGATCACTTTTCAAGAAAACTTGGAATCACCAAGACCATTCTAAACTGAGCTTGGGAGTTTACCCATTACTGTTTTAGAGGTGAGGGATGCGGATGCCGCTGTGGGTTAAACCACAGAGCCTAGGACTTGCCGATCAGAAGGACGGTGGTTCGAATCCCCATGACGGGGTGAGCTCCCGTTGCTCGGTCCCTGCTCCTGCCAACCTAGCAGTTCGAAAGCACGTCAAAGTGCAAGTAGATAAATAGGTACCGCTCTGGTGGGAAGGTAAACAGCGTTTCCGTGCGCTGCTCTGGTTCGCCAGAAGCGGCTTAGTCATGCTAGCCACATGACCCGGAAGCTGTACGCCGGCTCTCTTGGCCAATAAAGCACGATGAGCGCCACAACCCCAGAGTCGGCCACGACTGGACCTAATGGTCAGAGGTCCCTTTACCTTTACTATTTTAGAGGCCGGCCTCAGAATGGTTCTCTTAATTTATTTTGCCTTCATAGATGCTAAGGCAGGGATGTGCTAACATTTCATGTAAAATATTCTACTTCCTTTTCCTTGATAGATTATTTTGATGGAAGGGCAGATTGAGATACAGCGCTTCCTTATTCAGGCTAATGGAAATTTTGTTCCTACAGAATATGTTCTGCTTTGTGTTGCTGCTTAGGCGTGCATTTTTGTTAAGTACCAAAAAAAAAAAAAAAGCACCCCATTTAAAACTAAATAAAAACCATTAATGGTCATGATGATGATACTTTTTAAAAAGACCTTTGAGTTAATATGAGCTCAGTGATAACAGAAGTGAGTGAGTGTTATGCGAGACATACAAAATGCAACACATCTTTTGGATATGATCATCAAGCAGGTAACAACAAAATGTCCGCAGCCTAATCTGAAAGCAGGTTATCTTTACTATGCCTTTTCAACTAAAACAGAGTTTAGATACAAATGGCATGCTGTTTTATACAGATCTATTTGAACCTCAGCTGCCAGAGCAGTAATAATTTAATAATTGATCTGACCTGTGAACACTTCTCCTTAAAATAGCTGAAACCCACAGGTTTCGTTGAGACTTGTTCATACACAGCCTGAGCATGAAGATTACCTATGCGCTGATAGTTCACCCAAGAGCAAGCTTTGGGCCCCAACAGCTTCCCTCATGACACATAGAAACTGTAATGATTACTATGGCTGACACACAGCAGCATAAAGAGAGCCTATATGCAAAAGTCACAGTTCTGGTATAAGTTAAGTGTGTACAAAGCTAACTTGTCTCATGTCCCACTGTGTTGAAAGCCCACATGCCCAGGTTGGAGTGAGTTGACTCAAAGCTGCATCTGGAGGCATTCTAGTGTTGTATTTTTGCAGTTCTTCTAATTTTCATTTTTCATGGAATACTTACATAAGGCACAGTAGAGACCAACTTGCTCATACCCACTGCAACAATCTGTCAGATTCATACTCTCTGGGACGGTGACAGGATGATATTCTTCGTTGTAATAGGTTTTGGTGCAAGTCCTCCATGGAATCCACCCTCCGCATAGTGTTTCCTTTTCATACGACTTTCGATAGGCAACCATTTTGTTTACATTTTTGTCTATAGTATAATTGCATAAATGGTAGCTGAGCAAGGAGAGACCTTTCTCTAGAGAGAAAGACAGACAGAGTGATATAGGAATTAGTGACACAATAGGTGATTTTTCAAAAGCACTCACCTATCAATGTACTTGGGAACAACTGCAGGTGACCAGCCACTGTTTTGTTTTTGTTTTGTGTGTGTGTGTGTGTGTGTGTGTGTGTGTGTGTGTGTTCTCAAATAGATTAGGTTGGATCCAGCTTTCCCATCATGCTTAAAGTAGAACCAATGAATTTCAGTTGATTTACTGTAATAATGTGTATGTCTAGGTCTAATCTATTTTTTCAAGTCCTCTAATAAAAAATTGAAAAGATTTTGGTAATCTGGAGATCTAGAAGAAAGACAGCCAGGCCGATAAACAACAACTGCAAGAATTACTGTAAAGATAGAAGTAACTTTAAATATTTTAAAAGCTTTATTGAGTTCTATTTCATGTTTTTGAAGGAAGAGTAAATTTTCTTTCAACTTGCTTTCCTTGAATGAAGTGGTATTCTATGTCTAATGCTAAGCAGGGAAACTTAGGGAAGTTTTTAATGTTTGATGTTTTGTCACTTTATTATTATTATTAGTAGTAGTAGTAGATATTCTGTTGGGAACTACCCAACAGACTACTGGGAACTACCCAGATGGGCGGGGTATAAATATTATTATTATTATTATTATTATTATTATTATTATTATATTGCCAAGTCTATAGCAAAACCGGATCTCTTTGCAACTATGTGTACATCAATCAGGAAGATTGGGAGGAAATCCAAGTGTGATCAGCAATCCTATACATTTGCTAAAATCCTGTTTTATTATGTATTGTGTTGTTGTTGTTGTTGTTGTTATATTTATTCAAAATCTATCCCACCCGTCCTACAGCCTAGAGTTCAGAGTATAGAGTTCAGTACTCAGAGAAGGACAATTCCCCTGTGTAGGGTTGCTAGGGACAATTCAGAAAATGTTTACAAATTAGCATTTACTGCTCCATAGCTTCCAAACACAAGAATTAGACTGCCATTAAACTAATTAAAATGTATTTTGTTGGATGGATTATTTTAACCAGCTACAAGCTGAAATTTCCAGTACGACCATAAGAAGGTGATTACTAGGTTTATTATTATGGACTTATTATCACCTTGGCAGTACTTTTTCACCTGTGCAAGCAAACATATTTCTGAAAATTAAAGTGCTATCCTGTCAACTAGCAAAAGCAGAAAACTTCCAAGTTTGTAACACAGATTATTTGCAACAGGAATATATCTTGATTCTTGGAAATATTGATTTACTACATGCATTGGCGTCTGTGACAAAGGTTATGTGAATCAAATGTCTTACAGTCTTGCAGTATTGTTCTTGGGTAAAAAATATATTCAGTAGACTAAAACTGCTAACAATGTGTGAAGACAGCAGGTAAAGTAAATTACACATGGCATACTTAATTTGTTAAATAACACATGATATATATACTGTGGCAGGTAACCAGTGGAAATGTGGCATGTGAAAGAAGTCCACCCCTTTGGGGTGATGCCAACACATTTTTACCCTTCTTTTTCCCTATCAGCCTGTTTTTCTTTTCTCCTTTGTCATTCTGTTATGAATATGTTTCTGCAAAATTCAGTATTTGGAAAGCTACTGCAGAATGTCTGGGAATAAAGTTATGCACACTAACAGAGGATTCAAAGTCCCCTTCACTTTTTAATGTTGGGACAAATTAAGAATAATGAGATAAGTCAGGCCTCCTGCAGCAAATAGCAACTCAGGGCACAGTGTTATTCAATAGCCGTATAGAACAGCAGCATGGATGGGAGAGGGAGAAGCGTGTAGCTTCAGTTTTCTTTCTCAAAATCTTGACATTCTGAACCAATGATACTGATTACACAATCACCACCACCACCGCACAGGCTACAATCTTATAGGATTCATAGTGGCTACCCCTGTAATGAAACTACTGGTTTTAAATTCAGGTAGGTAGCCATGTTGGTCTGACGCAGTCGAAATAAATTTCAAAAAATTAAAAATTGTCCAGTAGCACCTTAGAGACCAACTATGTTTGTTCTGGGTATAAGCTTTCGTGTGCATTCACACTTCTTCAGATACCTTAAAATTTTAGTTGGTTTTACTGGTTTTAATTCATTCAGAATGCAGCTGTCTGCAAAAGCTTTCAGCTTTTAAGGATAGACTTTTAGAAGAGCAAATATTTCTAATTATTCAGAAATCATAGCCCAGCCTAGATGATAAGGGTCAATAAGAAATTAAACCAATGTTTAAATATTGATCTGAATACAGTGGTAACGGAAGAGCTACATAGTCTTATTGTTCCTACCCATGATTAGGCTAAACAGCATGGTGTTCCCATGAGGACTGTATTCTGGGTCCTTTCATGGTTCTGACCCATCAACCAACTGTTTTAAAAACAAAGGTCAGCACAAACATTTGCAGGCGCAACATCCTTCATTCCCATCCATCACATCTCTTGTTGAAAGCCTCTCCACAACTGATCTAGCCAGTCTTGCTTACTAAGCTAACCTCACCACCGCCCCAATCGAGAACGGGATCACAGGATTCCAGAGCTAGAAACAAAGCTGAAAAACCTCCACATCCACAAATTCTCAGAGAATTCTGCAGAGGCAGTTTCTCTGGTCTATAGTTTACATAGCATAATGACCCTAGTTCGCATCTTTTTTAAGGTGCTTCATGATAAAAAGCTGCATCACTTGCCACCCAGAATCCTATATCCAAAAGACACCAAGCACTCCTGAGAATTTTAAATCCATAATCGCCAATGAGCTAGGATGAATCACAAGAGTTGTCCTGAAAATAAATGGTCCCTGAGGTAAAAGTAGATTTTTGAAGAGCAATGTTCAGTGCCATGTCCAAATTAAAATTAAACGTGAAACTACGTAGGTATCAGTAAAGTGTTTTGCTACTTGCCTGTAAAGGTGTTAACTGTTCTCTGCCCTGTAGTGGTACACAGAATGAAGACGGACACAGCAAGGATCCTAGCCACTGAATTAAAGGTCCTCATCGTTTTTTGCAATATCATTGTTCCCAGGGAACAAAATAGCAGTTGGTTTTACATCCAGATTTTAGGAAATAGAGCAGAATTGCCTTCGTTTTTCTCCTTAGTGTACAGGTAAAGCGACTGGCCTCAGAACAGAGAGAATCTAGGCAGCACCTTGCCTGTGGAGGTTCATTAACGCTTTCCCCACGGAATGCTTGCATCTCAATTACTAATCCTGGTCCTCAGCAACCTGATGTAGTCGCTTGCGGAATAACACCCTGATTAAACCTCACTTATTTGTAGCCAGCTTCCACGGAAGTCGACTGGTCTTAAAAACAAGTACATGAGCATAGCGTGGGGTGGGGGGTCAGCAGGATTAGAGGGTAGCTCCAACCCTTTGTGAGAGAAACAATGGAAGCTGGGGTGTAGTCTAGATTGAACTGGGCAGAGGGAAGAGACTTCTTTAGGGGAGAACAGGAGTAGTTAAGAGTCAGAGGGTGAAACCACCATCATGTTTCATCATGGGGAACCTGTGTGCCCTTGAGGGCCCCACTCCTTTAGGAGGGAGGTAATCTCTGGGGGGTGCATGTTGGCAGAGCCAATCCCTTCTCTCTCTCTCTCTCTCATTCTCCTCTCTCTGTGCCACCTCCTTTGTTCTACCTAATCTCAGGGAGCAGATTTTGTACTGTAATCTGCTCCCCGAGATTAGGGAAGTGTGGAATAAGCAAGGGAAGAATGTGTGGCTCTGAAACATGCTGCAAATGTCTTTGTGGATAAAAGCACAAAAAGAAAGATCACCTCAACAGTATCATCTGAATTACAGCTCAAAAATAGCACACTGTGTGTGATTAAATGGAAAAGAGGACTTTTAGCATAGCTGTTTGAAGTTAGACCTGGTAGGACATCAAGGTTGTGTGGCAATAAGATGAGAACGCCTGTTATAGACAGGAGTTCATATGCAGCACCAGTCCCTGTTTGGTTTTCTTAGCCTTATCTACCTTTCATTTTAACTTCTACAGCATGCACATGAGTTTTCTTGGGAACAAGGTATTTTGGTTTTCCTTGTAGGATTATTTGCAGCATTATATGCATGTTCAAATTCTGTGCTGCAAGTGGTCTCAATCAAAAGATAAATGAATTTGATTAAGCAATGTTTCCATTTACCTTTAAGAGGAGCTTTCATATCCCCTGAGGATGCGATTCCCCCCTGGCTACGGTTACTATAGTGAATGTTTCAGTGCCGTGGAAACAAGTCAAAAGAGGTTTTCAGTGAAGGACTCAAAATAGATTTGCCAGCCATTTTAGACAACAGAAAATATTTTCAACACCCTTTTGCATAATTTGTCAGATGGGGGATTTTCCTACCCTTTGGGGCATTTTTTACTTCTTGGATATGGTTGGTAGTCTTTTACTTTTGTCTTAATTTTCTAAAAATCTGTTACATTCTGCTCAATTCACACCTCAGATTCCTTATCATGATACCCAAAATATTTGAACCTTTCCTTCCATTCCCTAAATTCAATTGTCCCAACCATTTCTATTTTCTTCCCTCTGCTTCATTTCTTTATGTACATTTATTTGAATACAAAGTAAAATGAAATTCATCCCTAAAGCAGCTTCTTGTTTATTGGCTATGTGGTTTGTTACTGACCATTATTTGCTGGTAACACTGACTGTAAAAAACAAAACAAAACTTGAAGATACAAAGTTGTAAGCGTTGGTTGCTTTGTTTTATATTTGCACCACTCTCTGGACAAACCCACCTCTCTGATCTCCTCTAGACCATCCTGATTGGAATTACTGAGGATTAAAACAGACCCAATATGGCTTGCAGG